GACGCATGTGTATGTGACAAAATGACAAATAAACATGTTGCTGATACAAAATACAAAAGTGTTTGGCCCATAGACTGTATACAGAATGGACGCCGTCTGCCTCCTCGCTGAGTGAAGCCACTCCGAGAACAGCACCCCCTGTTTACAGGCTGCAGTATAGGTCATAAATCCCGCCTCCGCCAGCAAAGCTTATGGGGCTGTTGACAAACTTTAGAAATTTATTACACAGTACATACATTTTTCTCCCCCCTGCTTGCAATGTTGACATGTAGTTACTGTAAGACTGGTTTGTGCTCAAGTCCTCTTTTTTCTGTACAGCTCCATTTTTAAAAGTTATAAGGGGTTCATGTTTGCTATGATTGACACCTGATACAGCCTATGGGCGTTCAGGGATTGCGTAGCTCTCCCGGGGGATACGCTGTTTGAGCCGAGCGTCATCACAGCGACTCTTTTCAACTGCGCGGCCGAATGCGCGCATTGCTACTGCGCAGCGCTGGTTTCAGGAAATGAAGAAAAATCCTGGAAATATCGAGAGCTATTTGGCTCCAAATCTGTATACAGGTGGTAGGCGGAACGAAGTTGTCCATAGTATATACAGTCTATGGATACAGCCTATCGGCGTTCAGGGATTGCGTAGCTCTCCCGGGGGGATACGCTGTTTGAGCCGAGCGTCATCACAGCGACTCTCAGCGACTGCGCGGCCGAATGCGCGCATCGCAACTGCGCAGTGCTGGTTTCAGAAATGTAGAAAAATCCCGGAAATACAGAGAGCTTTTTGGCTCCAAATCCGTATACAGGCGGTAGGCGGAACCAAGTTGTCCATGGTATATACAGTCTATGGTTTGGCCCCACTCACTGCTAATTTCATTACTTGAAACAAATTATTATTATAGTGTTAGGTAATTTCATATTAAATCACACTTGGATGAATGGGTCATTTTTGACCCATGTGTGTAAACTTGATGTAAAAATATAGAAACTACATTATTTCATAAAGTATGAAAAGAAAAATAGAAATAATGATCAGTGGTGATCAAAAACAAGATATTTAAAGAATACTTGGAATATTCAATCAGAAAATAAACTGATTCCAAAAGATAGAACAAAGGAAAACTCAGCCAGCATGAAATACCATTGGAAATGAATGCGGGTCTTTTTAGACCCATGTTGCGCATTAGAGGGGGTGTGGATATGTTGCGCATCAAAGGGTTAAGTTAAAAATCCTTTAGCGATTACACCCCACCATGAGGAGCTTTTTATTTCCTTCGCGCTGTGCACCATCTGACTTTTTATCCATCTGCCAATTACTGAGTGACACTGTCTCACCCGCCCATCTGACAGACTGCTCGTTAAAAACACACCCTCATTACACAGTCAGATACTAAAATCAGTGTTGTACAAGGGTGGTTTACTGTCCAAGTCTCTTTTCGTATTTTTGCAGCATCAACGTCGCTAATGCTGAGAGGATGTAACCTCAATGACTTGATCCAACCATGACACTCTGTGAAAATCATTTGATTATCTGAAAAGCAACTCTAGATTTGGGTGTCTAGGACTTTGGTCTCTTACATTTCTATGTCTCTTTCAATAGCTGTTCATCATTTCACCTATGAACTCTATCAGAGGGTTTATAAATCTCATATGTAAACCAAACAGTTATTAAATCAGCATGCAGAGATCACTATTTTAACTGAAACTGCTGTCTGCCTGTACAGTACTTAGCATTGTATTGTTTGCTAGTTTGTGTAATGTGAGAAAATAAGAATATAAAATCATTAAGCATGAGTAACATTTCTCTGTTCCTGTCTTCCATTTTCAAATGAGACTATCTATGTTGATTTGTTCCTCTATCATTAATGAAAAATGCCCTAATTGACCAATCAGAGCAGAGTATTCCCCTCAGCTGTGTAATGAATCATTGAAATGTACAGTACTGAAAAAAGTAGAGCTGATTCTTACAGAACCAAAGTGTTTGGCCATATACCAGGTTTAATTTCTGAGTCTAATAATCATCCATCTATCCCACAAACACAACAATCACCACAACATGAACACAAGCAGGTAGAATAAAGCAACAGAACAGGCGCAGTGACCAAAATGAGATTAGAGGAAGTAACATTTGAATAAATTTATTACAAAGTAAAAGAACGGAGAGGATGAATGAGCCTGTCTGAATAAAAAATGAAAAAGGCTTACAGTTGTTTTGCAGGTTATGAAAATATACCAGCTTTCCTTACTTGAAGCCCACAGCTCGCTGCTGTTGATAGATTTCTCTGTTGTGGTTGTTTAAATCCTGTTTCTGCTGACGAGGCCCTGCGAGAAAATTACCTCTTTAAACTGTCTTATGATATTCAGCGCTGCAGGAGATATAATTCATACTTTTATTATCCTGCAATAGTCACCCTGCAGAGAAATCCAGCAAAGAATGGCAGAAACTTGCTGTGAAAAGTCAGTGGAGGTGGTGCTGCTGCGGTGATGGACAATAACAACATCACTGTGCTTCTGAGTGGCACATTTTGCTTTAAAAAAACTTCCAGGCAGCTCGATTGACAAGTCAAAAGTAATATGTGTCCACTAAACTGAAATATCACTGAGGTACTTTGAGTTTGGGGCTGCAGCTGCTTTCTCTCGGCGAGGAGGTTCCTGATCTGGATCTGCAGCTGGGCAGTGGTCTCTATGCCTGTAGTTTTTATGTTCTCACCAGACACGCATGCATGAGCTCTTGCCAGGTACACTGACTGCTCCCACAGTGCAAAAACATGCTTGTCAGTTCAATTAGTCACTTTAAATTGCCCTTAGTGACCCTGTACGGGATAAGCAGTAAAGTATGCACAGAGACTTTGGTCAACGATGAACTTCGCAACTCATTTTGCAATTAGAATCATGAATGTAGTTCATTTGGAGGATCCAAGAGGTCGAGGGTTACCAAGCTCTGTGTGTTAGTGCAGCCAAAGTCAGATTCACTGCACCCCATGTGTAGCTTCTTATAGATATAGTCCAGTAAGAAGTGAGAATGGCCTGAAACAGACTTCATAAATAGCTCTCAGTTTAGAAATACAAGGAGTGTTTTGAAAGGATACATCTTATTGAGTTTGTTCAAGTATATCAGTAGATCTGTGCTCTTTCTGCGTACACAGACTTGACTGCTTTGCCAATTTTACATGTTTTTTTTTTCTTATTTCATTTAACTGATTATTTCATTTTAAGACATTAAAACCATGATTTAATTTAAAGCTCTTATAAGTAACTTTTAGTTTGTGTCTATTTGTCCCCCAACCCCCAGATGGTCAAAGCAGTCTTTGCGTAAAACCTTGTCCTGACTTTTGTCAAAACTGACCCATACCCCCTTACATCATCCATCCATCCATCCATCCATCCATCCATCCATCCATCCATCCATCCATCCATCCATCCATCCATCCTTCTCTACCGCTTAACAGGAGGTGGGTCGGGGGTTGCAGCAGCCTAAGCAGGAAAGCCCAGACTTCCCTCGTCCCAGTCACTTTGACAAGCAATTCCTGAGGCACCCTTGGGTGTTTCCAGGCCAGCTGGGAGAAATAGTCTCTCCAGCATGGCCTGGGTCTTCCCTGTGGTCCTCTACCATGCCCTGGACACCTCACCGCCTGTCAAGTTCCCATCCCATTCTTCCCTCACCAGTAAACAAGACCCCAAGATATCTGAACTCCTCCACTTGGGACAGGATCTCATCCCCGACCCGGAGAGAACACTCCATCTTATTTTGGCTGAGACCAATGAACTCAGATTTGGAGGTGCTAATTCTCATCTAAGCCACTTGTACTGATCCATTAAGAGCTGAAGGTAAGAGCCTGATGATGCTGACAGGACCACGTCATCTGCAAAACGCAGTGACCCAATCCTGAGACCACCAATCTGGACCCCCTCAACACCCTGGCTGCGCCAAGAAATTCAAAAAAAGTTATGATCAAAATTGGTGACAAAGGGCAGCCCTGGTGGAGTCCAACCCTCACTGGAAATGAGTCCCACTTACTATTGACTATGCAGACCAAGCTCTGGCACCAGTCTTACAGGAAGAACCAGCCCTTATTAGCGTGTTTGATACCCCAAACTCTTGCTTGGAGCACCCCCCACAGGAAAACCAGAGTTGTTAGCTGTTAAAGATCCTTGGGTCATGGCTTTGTGTATCAAGGATTTCAAGAAGAAGAAGAACATTAAATCCATACGAGAAATTCAAGCGGTATCAACTGATTTTGTGATTTAATATTCTTTTTTTGGAAGACACTTCTGTTTGAGTGAGGCAACAACTATAACTTCCACCTTAGCACAGCTTTTTCTGTGTCCTAAAGCATAGGAGGTGAGTCCTCTATATCATCATTTTCCTTTATGTACATGTCATGACTCATTTTCTCTTCAAATAAGGAACTATTAAAAAGGCTACCTTTTAGAAGAGCTTCCTGTATAAAACAAGTTTGTTCCTAAGAAAGTGTTTCCCGAAAGTTTGTCTTGAAAATGAGAAACTGTCATGTATTTGTGTCTATACAGCAATTTACTGTCAACACTCGGTGAGCGATCACCAAAAATACTGACCAACTTTTTTTTTAGGGAAACCTGAAGCAGAGCAGAGTGGATTTAAGTGTAAGACTGGTAAATTGGTTGTGGCTTTTCTCTGATTTGTTACAGGATGTTGAGCTGTGTCAGGCGGCTACACACGGATGTCACTAGGCTGAGCAGACTCTGACAGGTGGTGTCACTCCTACGCACTGCAAGCCGCTCCATCAAGCTCTGCAGATGGTGCATCTAGAGCTGTGCATGCCAACAGTTGCTGTTTTAGAAATGCAACACACCCACCAAATTCTTCCTTCCATGGAGTATTTCCCAAGATATACTTACTTTCTCCTTAAAGAACGGCAATATTGACAAGCTGTGATACTGTGTATTGTATTTACAACACAAATAGGAAATTATAATGTTGTGCAGAGGCTAACAAAACAGAACAGTGAGGCCAGAAATCATTGAGAAAACACACTTGACAACAAAGCCATGTAATTCATGAGAAGTGAGATAAAATAAGCAGGTTAAACAGTATGTACATGAAAATTCATTGAGAAATAGAAATGTGAAGGTTGGTAAGTATGACAGAACTACACTCAGTCCACATGCAGTCTGAAATAAAGAAGGCCATGTGATTTATGAGTACATGTTTCACAACATATTTAACATATTATGACAGCAGTCCTGAAAGCACAATGACAAACTGTGAAATAGTGTAAACTTTACATGTTCCCTGTTAAAACAGCTTTTCCTACATATATGTGACACATACACCATCAATTTCTCATTGCATATATAACAGCCTTACAGAATTGTGAGATATTTTTTTTTGTATTACAAGCTGTGTTAGGAAATCATCTAATTTACTTATATGTTTGACACCAAACTCTTGCCTGCAATAAGGACTTTAAAAAAGTAAAAGCGGATTCAGGGCCTAAAAAGTGAGGCAGATGCACAGGGATCTCAAAACTGCATCCTCTACAACCACCAGCAGAGGATGACTCTACTGTGTGCAAAAGATGTGAGAATCTAGACATGTTTTACAAACAATTTTTTTTCTCGCTTGAGAAATTACCAACATGAGCAGGTTGTGGTCTCAAATGTTAATAAAACATTTTTCTCAAATATGGAATCTGTTTTAACATTGTTTATTTTTAGGGATATTTTCTTAAACTGCTATAGTCTTAAAAAATTGGTGTCAAATTGTTTGGCTGAGCTAGCACAAGCAACCACTAAAGCAAACATTTTGGCTTCACTTGCCTTTATTATGTCTGGAGATAGAAGTGTGTCGCCCCCTGTTTATACAGTCAGCGATTGGCAGTCATTTGTCTTATAACTTTTTGTTAAAAGCCCTTTTTTTCTGTGAGCCACAGGATGCCAAAAGTATCACAGTTATTTCTATTTACCGCGTTTTGTGACAACTTAGTGTGAGACTCTTGCCTCTTAGCTTCATTTCTTCTGAGACTTTTGACTTCAAACATTTCAAGATAAAAAAGTCAAAATGCCAGATTGGAGGTTTCAGTCCACGTCATGTGGACTTTGTGATGATTATGAAGCTGCTGTAAACTGCATGTAAAGAGTCTAGGATAGCTTGGACTGGAAAATTGACCTAGACACAGTAGAATATCCCTTATTTATTTTTAAACTTGCTTTGTCAGAGAAATACACACATAAACATGAGTCTTGACAAATGAGAAAAAGTTGCTAGGGTTAATTTTTGGTGGTGGTGGTATGTATGATTAACAATATGTGGTAAGGAAGTTGCTGGCAATTCTAGATCATGTTTATATATGCTTCCTCGCATGATACAGTATGATCTATAGATAGTGGTTCTTAGAAGTGATGCTAAGCCCATGCAGTGATTCCCACTGCAGAGTTATTGATGCAGTGATTCCTGAGGGCCTGAGGATCACAGCTATCTAGATTTCTTCAGATTCTCTGAATGTTTTAATGATATTCTTCATCATAGATGGTGAAACGCTCAAACGCTTTGCAGTTCTGAATCTGTGGGGAAGCTGTGTGAGGCTAACGCTATCAGAGCTATCACCTCCAGCACCCATTACAACAGTATTTTGGCTTCACTACCCTGGATTATGTCAGAATATGGAAGTGTCTTAGACCCGACTTTTTGAAGATGCATTCCTGGCATCACTTTAAAACGGAGGGTTTATTTTTCATACAATCAAACATTTTCAGTTAAACCTGAGTCATCGTCTCTTTGCTATTTAGAATTGAATAAAAGGTTTACATGATTTTGGTGCCTCCTTTGGGCAAAGATGTGCAACATGTTACTTACTGAAGCTTGTCCTGTACCTACTACGGTTTCATTTTGTGACCAATTTACCTCATTCTAGCCTTTTGAAAATGAATATTTGCTGTGGAAAATGTTGAGACCAAAGTATTGATTTCCGGCTGTTTCAATTTCTTGAAATTCCTTTTGACACTTGAAAGGGACAACTGCAAATAAGGCTAAGATTGATGCAGATAGCAGGTGTACAGCTAAAGTTAATCAGTGCAGAGCTGGGAGGCTTTTCTCGTGATTTTAGGTCCCCCTTTTCTATATTTTTTCACTAAACATCGCCTGGTCAGATTTAAATCTAACTGAAAACATGAATCCAGTGTCCACTCCTTTTTCCAACTGTAGTCATTTTTTAACTGTCACAAGAGTGAACTTCACCGTTTTCACTTCTCCTAGTCTTATTGGAAGTTTGGACACAGGCTGTCTCTGCATTACTGCCACCTCCTGATCCAGAGCATGTGAACTTGATGTTGGGCATCATTGTGAGAAAGGGACCAATCACTCAGAATAGTAACCAGGCAGTGTCAGATGTCTGACCTTGGCTTTTAATCGTCTCTGCCACATTCCCTCTCTTACTTTTAGCATGGTCTACTTCCGCACGTCTGTAGACCGTCTGCTGTCTGCTACTACACAATTGGTCAAGAACATATAGTAATGCTACATAAGATAAACATATGACCTTATTTGTTTGAGGAAGCAGCCATGTGAGTTTCTTTGCATAGGCATATTGGTGCAGAACTGTTGCACAATCTATATAGAAAAAGTCTACTTTTATTCCAGCTCTATGATCCACCAAGTCAGCTTCTGTAACTGCAATATGTAAATTTTTCCACTCTTGAAGTTGGTATGTGTATCAGTCTCATAATGCATATATAGGTCATGCTCTAAAATGCATATTAACAGATAGTAAAGGTGTACAGTTGAAATCAATCTTGTTTTGAAGTTATTGTTATTGTACAGAGAGCAGTGAAAATGTGGATAAAGTTAAAATAATTTAAAACAGAGTCTGTGTCTCCATCCAGGTCCTTACAGCAGTCAGTCTTTTAAAATACATTTAAGTCTTTGTAAAATACATTTCTTGTGAATAGTTCCTTGTAAGTGTGCATATGCAGGTGCACACAGGCTGAGTGACACGTCTGTAATCAGTCTTCACTCGCAATTACTGAATAAAAAGTTTATAAGGATGATCCTTATAGAATTAAGAAACACTCTTTCAGTCCAAAAACAAGAAGGGGATAGAAATGGGTTTAATGGGCATCATTATTTGTGCTTTAATTGATGTAGTAAAGCCAGTAGATTACGTTGAAGAGGGAGAAGGAGAAGGGAAATATAATCCGTGACCATCTGTCGATGGTGTTCACGTCAGTGAGGTCTGGGATTTTGATTTTGAGTTGTGACGATCGTCTCCGCAGCCGTGATTTCCTTGGAAATGTGTTCCTGTCCACACTGCGCCCAGAGTCGCTCGCCTTGCTTGACTTCCTGTACTGGACCCCGGAGTTGTCGTACATGGTGGAGGAGGAGTTGTGAGACTCGCTGATGGTGGTTGTGATCTCATTCTCTCCTACCTCGTTGTGGATCTCCAAGGTTGTCAGCAGGATGTTCCCTGGGGTGTCGACCTAGGCAGGACAGACAGGAGTGGTGTTAAAAATGGTGCTTCAGTGACTGATGACACATGCACAGCACGCATCAGACCCCGGGGCCGCCGCCTTCCAACAGGCTGACAGATTATAGCCAAGGAAAGAGAGAGCGGCCTTCAAAAACAGGTTTCCTGTCCCAAAGTTGAATCATTGCTCACAAATCAGCTCAAGGTTGAACTGAGCAGCTTTGATGCTCATGACAGCTTTTGCTCCAACACAAAACAAAAAAGTCACTCAAACCTACGCAGCAAAAATGAGGCACGATATGCACACAGTAATACAACAACATTATGATTACAGAGCTGCAGAGAAAGTGACTAAGTCATACTTCTCTTTTCTGGAGACTAAGTTAACTTCAGTGTAATTAGTAACACAAATGGACAGTTTTTCTGCAGACTTTAAGTGTGTGTGTTTGTAATATGTTAAGGGGAAATTAAATTCTATAAATTGTGGCCCAGTTTTTACATGTTTTGAGGTCTCAATAACAAATAAATGCAAAAGCCTCTGTAAATGCTCCTGCAGACTCCTTCAAGTTCAGGGGAGATACTTATAGTGAGAACTACTTTAGCAACTAGACTAACAAGTAGCCAGTGTTGACGTTGGTGTGAGTCTTAACCAGTGACTGTATATAATATGGACAACTTGGTTCCGCCTAGCGCCTGTATATGGATTTGAAGCCAAAAAGCTCTCGGTATTTCCGGGATTTTTCTTCATTTCCTGAAACCAGTGCTGCGCAGTAGCGATGCGCGCAGTCACTGAGAGTCGCTGTGATGATGCTCGGCTCAAACAGCGTATCCCCAGGAGAGCTACGTAATCCCTGAACGCCCATAGGCTGTATCAGGTGTCAATCATAGAAAACATGAACCCCCTAATAACTTTTAAAAACGGAGCTTCACAGAAAAAAGAAGACGAGCACAAACCAGTCTTACAATAACTACATGTCAACATCACAAGCAGGGGGGAGAAAATTTATGTTCTATGAAATAAATTTCTAAAGTTTGTCCACAGCTCCATAAGCTTTGCTGGCAGAGGCGGGATTTATGACCTATACTGCAGCCCATCAACAGAGGGTGCTGTTCTCGGAGTGGCTTCACCCAGCGAGGAGGCAGACTCTGTCCAGTGAATTTATTCACTGACCAACGCTACTGTCAACTGAGCTCAACTAATGTGCAGGTAGCTGGCAGGGTGGCAATAACAAATGGTCCTGGAAAGAGCTACACATATACAAGGAGCTGCACATTGCTGAACACAATGGAAGACTTCTTATAGCAACGCACATACCAACCAAAAGCCGTCATTTTACTTGACAGAATGCAAGAGTAGCTAATGCACTGCTGCCCTTTCACTTAGTTTGCATTTGTTTTGGTCTGGTTTTGTACCCAAAGTAAATATTTGAAGACCAACTAATCCAACTGATCAAGCCAGCGACTCCTGCACTCTGAAAGACTAAATAAATGTTTTTGTCAATGGAGTCTAGCCACTTTGAAGAGCGGGATGTGAAGGCTGTATCTGGTTTAAGAGTTCAGGATCATCTCTGAATTCAGAACTTTCACTCTGCCAAGATACTGTCCTTAATATTTTCAGTAACTTCAACAACCATCTCAACCTTTAAGAGATTATTCTAATGCCAAGCCAAGTAAAAAAGGTGTCCATCTCAATAAGAAAATCCCCAGTGCAAACACTGAGAATATAAAAATGTAAATCATGATTTTGTAAAAGTAGTGTCAGTGTTTGTGTGACCAACTCACTGGAGAGAGTCCCTGTAGTCCTTGTTCTGTGGGCTTTTGTTTGGAAAAAAAATGCAAAGACAGAAAGTTATCCGGCAAGTCCATTTTTGAAAGAATTAGTTTGGTGAAGATAAAACAAAGATGAAAAACTGTTCGTCTCAGAGTGTTTCATTTGCTCTTGCAGTACAGAGTGTTTAAATGAGCACATCTAAACAATACAAACGCCACAGACAAACATAAGGAAAAATATTGTGTGACGATGATGAGGTCAAACTTTGCTCTGCAGCAGCAAAGTTTATGCCGAGGTCTCATAGTAGTGACTCGGCCGGCAGTGACAGACTCACCCGTCGTGAGTGACGGCGCCCTTGTACCTGATTGGACATTTTAAGAGATGAAGTCTTGCAATTTCCTCCTTCCTGGACAGACTGGCCGGGAGAAACATAGACAGAAACCCCTAAACGCTGAGTTTTGGTCAGGTATTAGCTCAAAAGTTCAAATTGTCTCATATGAATGTGACACACAGAAACTAACATGACATTGTCTCAAATATAGACTGCATATAGAAGGGCGACATAGAATCTTGATTAATTAAACAAATCTGATGTGCATTCTATTTGACGGCCAACAGGGGGCGACTATACTGGTTGCATTTTTATTTGCATATTTTTTTCTGTCTTTCACTGTCAACTATGCTTTTATTTTGAAGTATACTGCTTCTGGTGGATTGTAAGTTACTTAACTGAATAAAAACAGTCAAAAAAACAAAAACTGATAGAAAGCATATATTTTGAGTTGGCTGGTAACTCTTAGAGGTATAAGCTGTAATGTGGGTTTTGAATGTACAATGAATCTTGAAAAGTCAGTCTTTACGGTTTAATTGTTTGTCGGATGCCTGCTACAGCTACCTTGCTGGCAGCAACCATGTCTTCCTCTTTCATCCTTTGTTTTCTGATGTGTGCTAACCAGGGTAGAGGACCGTAACTATGAACAATCACTCAAAACACTATCAATATTGTATCCATATTACTTTTTTTCTTTAAAAGTTATGTTGTGACAGCCATACTGGGAGCACTGGTGAGTGATATTGAATATATCATGCTCCCCTTACAAAACAGTCTATGGCTGCAGCTAAGTGCTACAGCTGTGCATTTTGCAACCAAATGTACAGTAGAACACAGTGGAGCTTGTTATAGTCATCTCTGCAGCTTTTCTCATTGGAGAATCTGTTGACAGAGAGTGGAAAAACCCATTCATTGGCTCTTGAGCAGATGTGTCAGTGCATTTCTCTGGTTGTCCTTCACAATTGGAAAAGAAGATTTCAAAAAGCTGGTGTTTGATCAGACTCTATCCTAGCTGTTGTCACATCTGGCACAGTGCTCTTTTGACCACTCTGACTCTGATACAAAGTTATCATTGTAATTGTGTTGAGATGATTCTCACCTTGGGTTTGTCAAAATTTTCCCTGTCGTTATTTGCCTTCTGCGCCTTCTCAGCCAGTTTCTTCTGCATCTGAGGACCTCGTCCAAAGAAGATGTAGTTGACAAAGGCGTACTCTAGCAGAGCCAGGAAGACGAAAACGAAGCAGCCCATCAGGTACATGTCGATGGCTTTGACATACGGGATCTTGGGCAGAGTTTCTCTTAAATGTGTGTTGATGGTTGTCATGGTCAGCACAGTGGTGATCCCTGAAATGAAAAGATTAAATCAGTTCTCAAGCTGTAAAAAAATCATACAATTTGAATTATTTTAAAGGGAGCAGTCAGTTTATCCAATGATAAATTAAGTATTTAAAACACATATTTGGGAGGAAATGCACTGATATCTTTTTCCCACCAGGATGTGCCTCCTTCAAGTGAACATAGTGGGAAAAACCTCCTTTAACAGGGATATTGACCTTCCTTAAAAATTCTTCTTAAAATATGCGGCTGACCATTCTCAGCACTACTCCCACACTGCACACACTTTTTTCACACTTGATTATAAAAATAAATCAGAGCTCAGCCAAAAATAACTTTCTACGATATCCTCTCATTTTGCTTTCATTAAAAACCCATTTGTGCTGCATTACCTGACTAGCTTCAAGGTTTACTCATAGGGAAGATGTTAAGTCATAACAGAGGGCTCAGATGCAGGTGTGAATATTTCCACAGAGGAGCGTTACAATGTCTTAAGTCAGGTAAGAACCAGTAAAAGCCTTTGTCTGTTCCTCCTCTTTTCAGGTTTAATCTACTTGGCTAAGCAGAAAACGCTCCACTTTATGGCTCATGAAGCGTACAACGAGTAAACAGAGTCAGCAAATCCACAATAAACAACAGTGTAGTAATTCTCCTGATAATGTGCAACATCAACTATAAATGTGTCTATGCCTGTATGGCTCACCATCCTGGACTGTGTGTCTATTTCTGTCGACTCAGGCTTACATAATAAAACCAAAAAGGATGCACTGTACAGTACAGTATGTGTGGGGGTGTCAGGAGCTCTGTGGGTGTACGGCATCGATTCCTGCAGAACAAAGGCGAGAGTAGGAATCTCAAGTCGCACTGAGCTCATAGGAGAGTGTTACTCAACAAATCCCAGAAATATGATCAGCAAAGCACTGCAGATCTTACAGCCACTGTGTTTTACATTATAGCTATAAAAAGTACAGGGACAAGCTGAGGAACGGTTGTCAGATCACAGCTCGTGGGTGTTCAGCTTCCCAGAAGACGACTCGTTTAACCTCAAGCCAGAACACAAATTGTTCAGTCAAAACCTTAGACATAAGAGAGCCAGACAAAGCAGCTGTGTCAAGCTCTGGATTTTTTCACTTTTATAGTTTACAGGTAATGTTATAGGATCTCCATCCACTTCTTCTACACTCTCTGAGGCCGATAAGGTCATCTGTTTAGAGTTTAGGTTAACACTAGAAGCTGTACTTGGCCTTTAATTGCAATCAAGAACAATGAATGATCCTGGACATCTAGGTGATAGTAGTGTCAATGCTTTTATGAAAGCACAGGGGTCAGGAACCTTTTCTTTGAAAGGAACTGTTTTCATACCGAATAAACAAGTGAACGGGATTTCTCTGTCATAAGCCAAATACAGCAATCAACCTTCAAGTCTGGGCATGAAACAAATACCAACAGGTGGGTAACACCTCACAAATTTATGTATGAAAGCTACAAAATCTTTCCCACTAAAGCACTTCTTCTTTACTATATAACATATCCTCTGAACATAAAAGTACATTTCTTAATATCAAGGCTGTAAGATGTAACTTTCACTTTGATCCTTTCAAAAGACTGGCTCTCATCTGGAGGCAGGAGCAGTTCTAGGATTTACTTTGGTTCATGGTTTTGAGAAAACCTGCCAGTCTCTTGAACACAGCAGCTAGATGCCTTGATTCATGGATGCAGGTTAGACTTCCAGCTGTAATCCTTTGATGCATGTCTACTCCACTCTACTCTTCATTTGTTTCCTTTCTTCAGACATCGTGGCACACTGGAAAATTGTATCTTAATTGTATCTAAACTGTATCTGAACACAAATAAATGGCCACCTTGATTTGAAGTGGTTAAATCAGATGGGGTTTGGTGTCCCCTGAATACTGAGAATAACTGTCTCCAAAAGTAGCTCCTCAGCAGACCCCTCAGACTGAACAACATCCATCTTTAAATCACAGCTCAGTCAGAGCACAGTGTACAAAAACACTGAGTGAGGATTTCTGTTCAGGCAAATAGTTTACAGTAACAAAGATCAACTTGGTTAAAAAAGGTGGAGTGTTTTCTAGCTTTTGGAAACTTTGTGCCCCCTGTGGATAAAGCAGTACCACAAGAAGTTGCAGGCCCAAACTATGAGGCACCAAAGACATGCAACTGAAGGTGATCCTGTGGAGCTGAGGTCGCTCGACAGCACACACAAACATTATACCTAATGCAACCCTGGCAGCTGAGGCGTCATAATTGATCCAGAACGACACCCAGGAAAGGATGGTGATGAGGATGGAGGGCATGTACGTCTGCAGGATGAAGTATCCGATGTTCCTCTTCAGCTTGAAGCTCAGAGACAGTCGAGGGTAGGCACCTACAGGAAGAAGAAACACTATGATGTCCCATTAAAGAGTACTTCACTTAAGAACTGCTTTTTTAAACTGTTTGCATCTTGATCATTTACACCTGGAGAGGACTCACAGTCACTGAACAGCCTCTGTAAAAATAAAGTGACCTTGTTTCCTCTAGATGGTTTATTCTATAAGCTCTCCTTGTGATAAAACACACACCTGTGATGCTTGGTGTCCTTAAGAGCACCTACTGAGGAGATACTGAAAGCATCTGCAGACATTCATTATTGTTTATTAGCATCATGCTTTGACCCTGACTGTAATGAGCTCTAATAACCCTCTCTGTGTTTTCTTCTCAGAAATATTCAGACAACATCCATCATACTGGCTGTTAACTCAGCTGTGGGAATAATCTCAGTTTTGGGCCTCTGAGTTTTTGTGTATAAGAGAATAATTCATGCTGTTGGAGTCCTGCCTCATGAATTAATGATATTTCTGTACGTACAACCCCCATTCTTTTATCAGGAGCTCGATGAACCAGAGGGCTAATTGCCTCTGTGTTATTATCCTGACTTCTGGAGTATCAGCGAGAGAGGTCACGATATGAATCAGATCCAGTAATTAGGATCTTATCGTTTGTGTATGACTCTCCCTGAAAAAAAAGAAAACAAAAGTAGAGCCGCTGATAGTGAAAAAGTCACGGGCCCAGAAAACACTGTTTTAATCAGTCTCACTACAAGTGATGAAAGCAAAGTTTCTAACCTACCATGGCATGTTTTGCTATTTCAACCTTTGTTTTCAGTGGACAGGGCGATGTTTGAAAAGAAAGCTGTTTTATGCTGTAATTCATGGTTTGGAAACTTTTTTAATTGGATCCTGTTGTAAGCTGTTAATTTCTAGGCTAATGTCAATTTAATTTGATTGAACCAAACTCACACAATTCCTATGGGGCTGACAGGCTGAGTTTTCTACCTGTGAAAATGGACCTCAAGGATCTGCTTTGCACACTGGTGGAAAGTATCCTTGGGCAAAACATGTGACCCCAACCTGCCCCCGCTGTCTACACTCAGCGTTGTGAATTGGATTAGTTACAACCTGTGTGCACTTTACCTCCTTGCCTCTGCCACTGGTGTGTGAACGTGGTGTGAAAGGGTAAATACCACATGTTATATTAAGTGCTCTGAGTGGTCAAACAGACCAAAGAAAGTGGCATATTAACATAGATGTACCATCTTTATTTTGTAAGTACCTTGTTGAAATGTTATTCAGTGGGCTGTCATTCTATTAACAAAGTGCATATTACTTTTGACTAGTCTGCTGAGCAGTCTGAGATTTGTCAGCTCAGCTGACAGAGAAATATTCAATCTGCCTTAATGTGGCTGTTTATGAATAGGCTTGCACTTTCAATGAGCTTCATGTGTACAGAAAGAGGCCAACTCTGCCTCTCATGAATTCACAATGACTCAAAGCAGCTATATGCTGTGCTAAACAGTTTGTAATGCATTCAGATCTATGATTGAACTTGAACTAAACACATGGTGGTCTTGTCTCTAAAGCTGTAAACAAGCATTGGGTCAGGGGTCTTAAATCTTAACAAAAGCAAACAAAGTGATATGAAAGAAACAGCTTTTATCCAAAGCAGAAGGGGTTACAGTAAACTCACCTGTGGAAAAGACCACGTTCCTGGACACCAGTTTATAGTCAACTATGGAGAACTGGGGCAGCTCGATCCGTGTCACCCCAGTCACAGCGTTGTCCCCTCCTTTCCAATAAAACTCTATGTCATCTGTCGTGTATCCATCTGCAAACAGACACAAAAGAAGACCGTTAGGTGAGAGTCTTGTGAGTTTATGCGCTCTGAAAAGTGCAGCCCTCTCATCTTGTTGAAGGGTTAAAATTAATGATGTGTTTTTATTTGCTGAGGTGAGATCTGTCATCTGATTTACACCCATATGAATCACACAGGCTCCACTGGCTAAAACTGCTGATCACAGGAGATGTAAATCTTCATGTGGAGGTGTGTCATTGCTGGCAGACATGCTTACACCATATGCATTGGATCCATAACTGTTATTACTTTAAACACAGGAAGCTAAACACGTCATGAAGACTTATGAAGTTGGACTAATCGTAACTGTGCTAAAATATGAAAATCACTGTCTGGTTGAGGTATTTTTGCAGTTCTATCTGGAGGGTGTGCAGCAGGCAATCACACTGAGATACGACAGCTTAATAAATTGAAAGCAATCCAGCAGTCGGTGCACTTTCTGTCTCCAGGAGATGAGGAGTGTGAGAACTTTTTTATGAGACTAACGGTGCTGTTCATGGGGATGAAAAGTGCGGCTGTCTGCTGTATTTCCTTATAGCTTACAAGATGTTGGGCTCAAACTTACAACTCTCGATTTCCAGAGTACAGTTCTGTTCGTCCAGTGGGTATCTCCTCAGATCCATCATGCAGGCTGCTGTTGTCGTGATTCTGTAGCAAAACATAAACAGAGGGAAGCACATTATTCCTGTGACCTTGTTTTAAACAGTGAGGCTCCTTTATGGAGACAGACTGTCAAAGCTGGCGTCAGACAGAGGAAGAATTAAAAGCAACTTCTTGGAGATGTATAGAGATAAGATAAAACTCATTTAATTTGTGAGAATTATTGCTGAAAAGCATCTTTGCATCACATGGAAGTCATTGTTATCCTGTCAGAATCCTTGACAATTAGTGCTAATGGCACTTGCTGTCTTTTCAGAGCTGCAGTTTTATTGTAAGGAATCCATTAAACCCAAATAAACACACGAGATGTGTTGTGTCATTTGAGCTCATGTGAATTAAGAGAATCTGTGGCTTAATAGCTTCCACAGAACAAATGAAAGAGTAAAAGCTGTTCAAACACTTCAGAGCTCCATCAGCCGTCACAGTGGTTGTTATGAGATGTTAAAAAAAGCGCAAATATGAGGGACATGGCATGTATTGTGCCTTCAAATCACAAGGTGATAACAGCCTTAGTGAAAGTGGTACCCAACTGAAACAGCTTACAAGTTGTTCAAAGTCCACCAAAAAGATACCTAAAGCTGCAGTAAGGAACTTTCTGTTTGTGATGATTTCAGTGCCACTTGTGGACAAAGTAATATGCTCTATCACTTTACTAATCTTGCTTTGTCTGGGTGCTGTTTAATCATTCCTTTGTTTGTATGTATGTTTGTCTGTTTGCAAAATGATGTCTTTTCATGATATCCATAAGCAAATAAGATCATCAGCGTCAAGACCGATGATTGTTAAGTTGTTAAATTTGAATGTGTGGAACTAGTTAAACAGGGTAGGTGTGAGTCCAGCAGGTGAAAAGAAAACCTGTTTTAAAATTTTACATACAAATTTATTTATTTATGATAAATGATAAATTTGTCAATCTTAAGTCAGCAGGAGGAGATTTTATTTGTCCTTAATCGTATGGAGGACAAGAAAAGTAAAGACTGCTTTGTCCACAGGAGGCGCCAAAGTTGAATAAAAGCAAAAGTTCCTTTTCAGAAATTCAATCACTGCATTTTAATTAGTAATAACCCTAGTGGTGACATGAAATCAAAACTGTAATGCTACTGCTAAGGTTATAACTGACTTCTATATATCTGATTCAGTTATTTTCATATCATTCCCTTTAAATTAATGGAAGATTTTTGGTGCTTTTTACATAATCAGTCACAATTTTCCTCTGAAGGAAATCTGGTGGTACTGATGTCTGTTTTTGAGAAGTATTTTACAATAGCAAACTCCCTTGGCTCGATCTTGTATCTCTTCTTTATTGTATTGTTCTTTCTTTTTTTAATTTGCTTGCTTGTTTTCATTGTCTGATTTGGATTGATTGTTTTTAATCCTGCATGAAAATCACTTTGCACCTTCGTGTAAAAAGTGCTCCACAAATAAAGTTAAAGTTCCTGCTGTAATAGATCGGCATTAATTGAAGGAGAAGTAACATATTAAACAGAGTTTATCGAGTTTCAGAGTCATTGGTAAACAAATGCCCTGCTCACCTGAGGCCGTAGAGGACGGTACCGTCTGGGTGTAGTCGAATCATACGGTTCTTCACAGTAACCCCATGAACAAAAGACTTCTTGTCGTTGAGGAAGTAGGTGTCAGGGACCCAGAGCTGGTCTGCTACTCTGTTATCCAGGGTCAGGTTCAGAGGAATCCCCACATACGCCAGCCTCTTATCTCTCCAATACTGCTGGAAGTACATGGTTAACGTGTAGTCCTGTGGAGACACAGAGAGCATTATGTAGATTAACTTTACAATCATATGGATAAATAGATACCCCACATAAATACATGGATTGATTGATTGATTTTATTCTGTATTACCAGTCATTCATGCACTGACATCAGCCTGTTTTAATAATTTATTTGTATTTCATTCCCAGCCCACTCACCAGTGGATCCATCAAACACAAAAGCTTTTCCGGTTTTTAATGGAGCTCTTTGCCAGCTCACTCTGCTCTGTTCTGCTGACTAATGCTCTCTTTAATAAATAAGGAGTTCTCAGGAAATAAACAAAAACTTGGCCCCATGATGGAAAACACCAGCATTTCACTCCTCTGGTGCATAAACATGTTCACAGTCAAGTTTTTATAATGCCAAGACTTCCTTTATATATACAGATCAATATAAGTATTATTTTTTACACTCTGTACTGATTAATTTCTGGAGTTCTCACCTGCAAAACAGCTGACCACATTTTTTGAAATAAAGAGTTGCAATCATTTTTCTTGATTCTCTCATTAAAAGCAACACATTTTGGAGGCAAGGGCAGCTGAGACATGCATGTCTGTAAAACTAAAGGCTTGGATTGTATTTGATGGATGATACTACACTGTGATTTGATTGACAGTCTCATATGCTACAACATCAACTCCTCTGGATAATTTAGTGTGTGTACAATCAGAGGATGTATTTATTCACTAACCCTTTGTAAAAGGTAGCTATGCTCACCACATTTTTTTTCCATTAATTTAATGATCATTTTGTTATCTGCAGGGTAAAATTTTCAACCAAATCCCTTAAAGTTTTATGAAATTTTAGAGCTTTGATGTCTTTTTACGGTATACAAGGCAAACAGAACTATGAGCAACTAAATTCTTCAGCTTCATCTTCAAAGGCTTTTAATTTTTATATTAGAAACATTCAATTACACTGGCTCCTAAAATTGCAATAAATTAGGATTTAGGAAAATTGAGAGAAATCTTTGTACTCAATGAACAAAGCCCAAAACCAATACAGGATGGCTGTGATCTCTGGACTCTTAAAGGGATATTTCGGTGTAAAATCAAGTTAGGGCCAAACACACTGTAACCAGGAGCCCTGACGAGTCAATCACCGAGTACAGTGGATCTTTTCCATGAAGTTATAATCATCATAATGATTTGTGAGCTGTGAAACTCTGCTGCACTTGTTGATTGACTCGTCAGGGCTCCCCCACAAACAAGTGGCTGCTGGAGGAGAGTGGGTGAGTTGTATTTGGTCTCTTTGCTAAAGAAATCAGGCAAAGCTAAAAAGATGTTTGGTGGCTAGTGCTGTGGTTTGGACCCTATATGTACTGTTGATGAAGATAGGTGCTGTTCTGAGCATTATTTGTGGCTATAGAGTGGCTTTTGAAGCAGTCGGCAACAGTCATCTCTCAATGGGGTTGGGGGGGCTAACTCGGTGTTACGGTGTGTTTGACCCTAACTTAATTTTACACCAGAATATCCCTTTAAGCAGCAGATATGATATGACTAACAAAAACTACTGTCTGTACCATGCAAGGGAAAACAATATATAAGCACAATGCAGAAATCCCTGAGACTTGTCTGGGCTAGAGTCCGTGTGAAATGGACAAAAGTGAAGTGAAAAACTGTCCTGTGGTCTGATAAATCAAAGTTTGACATTCTTTTTTGGAGCCCTTTGACACAATGTCCTCCAGCCTACAAAGAAGATAGACTGCTTGTTGTCAGCGCACATTTCAAAAGCCAGCATCTCTAATGGGGATAGATGTACCCAGGATTTGGGTAGCTTGCTTGTCTGGGAGGGCACCATTAATGCTAAACAATATTCAAGTGTTAGAACTACATATGCTGCCATCCAGGACTTGCATATTTCAGCAAATCCTGCGGCATGCATTAAAACAGCTCTGCAATAGAGGGATCCAGGTATTAAACTGTTCTCCAAAGTCTCTCTCAGGTCCATAGACATGCTTTTGTAGGTGTCTGAGTAGCTGCAAACTCTATAGTAATCAATATAGAACATGATGTTTCTAGAAGAATTACCTGCAAAAGCTATGGCTGTAGTACTTTTTGAATGTTTTCAGAGATGCTCGTTCTCCTAGCTCTCTTTCACCCCAGTGAGCAGAAGATGGCCTCATTACGCCCCCTCATACCCAGCACAGGTGTGGGCTGAGTGAATCAGCTTTACACAACAGCTCTTATAGAGCATATCCACCAGCCCTCTCACTAAATGTCTGGATCAAAAATATTTTAGTCTGTTTTGGATCTTTTGGATCAAGTCAGTGGTTATCTGCTGTAGTATCTCAGAAACAAAGCTATGACACATGACTTTCACTTTGAAAGCAGTACAGTAATAGATCAGTCTGCAGCCTGCAGAGTTTAACAGGGATCTGCTCCAGGAGTCAGTGTATTCTCCATGGAGGCCATAGGAACCTTTTGGCAGCCACACAGAAGGACGGATAAAAAGGCAAATGGCTCAAGTGTGAAAATCTTTAATGATGTGTTTTACTACTTCACTGGTTTGTGATCACTGCTAGAACATTTTAGTTAATTTACAAATATTTAAAAACAACCAACAAAAAATTACCTTCCAAAAAGTCTATAAGTCTGACACTAAATAATGATGACAACATCAAAAGTCACATCACATTCCTATGACGTCAGCCAAACAGGACACATATGCAATCAGCTAAATATTCTTTTTTACAAGAAATTTAAAATGCTGCAAAGTTTTGGGTCCTAACAGCATCCTTCAGAAAATAAATGTGAATATTTGTGGAGCTGAGTCTTGATTTACTCCTCCTCTTATGTCAGCTGCCTGTGGATCAGTGACTATCTTTGTCACCTGTTGGACATTGTTCTGCTTGATGCTGGCTTTAAAAGCCAAAGGAACCCTTTTAAGCAGCCATCTTAAAAAAAGCTGTGTTTTTTACAGGAAAGATAAACATAATATAGAAAAATTGCTAAAAATATGGTGCCCAGCATAAGTCAGTAGATCCCCTTTTAAAAGTAATATTTTACTTAATATCTAGATGAGCAAAAGTACAATTTCCAAAGTTTTGACAAAGCTGAGCTCAACATTACATTTTATTTACCATAAGATGAAAATAAGGGTGATGTGGTAACTTAAATTTAGCTTTGCTCCCAGAACTTTGATTGGGGTGTTCTCATTTTCGCATCCTGATTTTAAATTGAAAAAAAAAAACTTCTTTTAAAAATCAAAATGTTGACTTTGAAAGGAAACTAAAGGTTTTCTGAAAACTCTGAAGGGGTGTACTCATTTATGCTGAGCACTGTAGCTCATTTCCTCTTTCGTACTCATTGTAAAGTGGTGGATTATTTTTCCCAATACATCCATTTTGAAGGTATTAAGAACTGGAGTTACACACAAAGCTGAGCTGACTGACAGGTAGGTGTAGGTTCCAGTAATAAGAGCAGAAATAAACATGTTTACAGCCACTTTGGCAGCTACTTCAGTCTCAGTCTTAAAACTAGAATCCCTTTAAGTTTTAGTCACATTCTGGTTATTCAAGCTCGTAGTAATTCTAGTGTAGTTTATTTATCGGTATCACAGTTGTGCAAGTGTTTCACACTCTTGACTGTGATTTTTTAAACAACTTATTAGTTTTTAAAAAACATTATGATTAAAAGTTTGATAAAAATTACTGGTGCAGCTGATGTGACTGACAGGCGGGAACACTGTAGCTGTATGGAGGGGCTGTAGAAATACGACTAAAATTAGCCCCTTTGACTCATGCTGTGGTTGAGGTAGCATTTCCAGCGTGGCGACCACCATAATTGGCTTCATAACTCTGCTTCAGTAACCCATGGGTGAGGTCACTTGACTTTATCCATGTTATCCATGCAGTCTGTGGGCTGAACACACCTTTAGGCTTCCTATACAGTGGTGAACTGAGAGGGAGTTTCCTTTATGAAGCACTTTATTCCTTATATGTTGAGCCAAAAAATGACACTTTTAAAATCCGATTATACCTCAGGATACCTCTAACTCTGATCTGTGTGTCACATCTTGAACAGGGGAGATGTTTGTTGTCAGATATTTGGAGGTTTGCTCTGGGCTCTGGTGACTGAACGAGGCCCAGTGGGAGGAAGAGTTTGTCGTGTTGTCTCCAGCTCGTTGACTGAACGCTCTCAGACTCTGACATGGTTACTCTGCTGCAGTCAAACATTATCTACGTCAACTTAACACCAGGATATCTGCTGGGAATACAGGAAGAGCTCTTAGAGACACTTGTCCTGTGAAAGAAGAGAGCTTTTTATCACTCTGTTAGACAGCCAAGTGTCCCAGGAGAGTTCCAACAGTCATGTTTCACAAACCAAGCGTTTACTCATTTCACTCTTTGTGTCCTCCCACACAATGTTTCACAAAGCCTTTCATTAAATGTTTTCATTTCCTTTGTCACCTCCAAACAGGATACTTGTGAGTATTGTGAGAGCAAAGTGATGTGTGAGCTATTTTTGAGGAGTGGAGGGATTTGGGTTCAAAAGACATAAAAACTTTACTGTCAGATCATTGAGTTCCTGAGTTATTTTCTCCAGAGCCCTCACTGTGATGCACACCAGATCTCAGACAAGATGAAAGAATACAAATCTTTTCAGTCATTCTTATAGCTTTGAAAAATGGATTAAAATAATACATAACCTTTACACATGGATGCATCATGGTATAATTTCAGTAACATATCAAGAATGACACTTGCCATTTTGATTAAGGGGAACTCCAGCTCCATTGTAACACTTTTCTCTGTCATTATTGTACATTAAGAAAATCACAGCTCAGATTTCAATATCTGACACCTGCAACCTATATGTGTGCTCTGTCAATACAAACAGAGGCAAAGTTGCACAGACTGATGGATTAGGAGTGTTGATGTTGAAGGCAGAAGATGTGCAGAGTTACACTTATCCCACACTGGAGTGACGGTTGTAAAACTGCTGAAGGGCATTTATAGCAGTTGTCAATTAGGAGTTAAAAAAAAAAGAAATGCAAATAAGGAGAAGCCTTTTTGTGAACTTTTACTACTTTTACATCTGTGAAATGTTGTTAAATAACGGTTGAACAAACCCCAACTCCAGTGAAGTTGGGATGTTGTGGAAAATGTGAATAAAAACAGAATAAAATGATTTACAAATCCTTTTCTACCTATACTAAGAATACACTACAAAGACAAGATATTTAATGTTCAAAATGATATACTTTATTGTGTTTTTGTAAGTATTCACTCATTTTGAATTTGATTACTGCAACATGTTCCCAAAACTTAGGACAGGGTCAACAAAAGACCGTGATCCAAAGACAACTGTTCAGATCCTTCCACAGGTGAACAGGTTTATTGGCCAACAGGTGAGTGTCATGATTGGGTATAAAAGGACCTAAAAAGACTCAGCCATTTCCAAGCAGTGATAAGGCCAGGTTCACCACTTAAACAACAACTGTGAGAGCACATAGTCCAACCGTTTTAAGAACAATATTTCTCAACAAACATTAGCAGAGAATGTAAGGATTTCATTATCTGCAGTCCATGAAATCATCAAAAGACTTGTAAAGCTGTAAAGGATATTGCCACACAAACCTCAAGCAGAGCCAGACACATGTTAGACAGTCATCTGCCGCTACAGCACAGGGTGTAGAGGGGGGATAGAGGGAGATGCAGAAGAGAGGGACAGAAGACAATGTGTAAAAGCCCATCTTTATGCTGATGATACAGTTTTGTTCTGCTTTGGTAATACTACACAGTTAGCTGCTGATATATTATAACAAGCACTTCCAAAATTGTACTTTCTTATTTGAAATACTGCGGATACAACTAAATATATGCTCTTCAGCTGAGCCAAGGATAAACCAGGCAGGCAGTCATCCATACATGACAACTCTTAAAGGTCACAATACAGAAAGGCTCTCTCAGTATGAATACAATTTACATTTGAATTTCATATCATAACGTGTGTGACTGTTACTACTCAGTCACTAATAACTAATATGCTATGAGCAGTTTGGTGAAAGCTCCCTGCACTTCCACTCTCTGAAATGTTAATTAAAACAGAAATTTGAAGTCTTTCAGCCACAATTATCTCCATGTAAATCAGATGTATCAACACAATAAGAGCACTTTGTGTCCCACTCTTATTTTAAGCACTCTGCTGGAGTGACGAGTAGAAAAATTCTGCTGCTCAGAGGGTTTGTATCCCTGTAGTCACATACCTCTGCTTCATAATAGTAAATGCAGCATTGTTCCAGCACAGGAGAAAACTCAGCATGTTGTTCAAAGAGGACTATTTCGAGCTGACTTCTCCTTACCCTGTGAGTATTTATGTCCTGAGGCTGTTTGATGTGTTATACGGCTGACTTATCAACTGAGCCCTTCGATATAAATCTGAGGGAACATCTGTAGTTTGAGGTTTTTAAGGTTACAATCCCTGCAGGCAGAAGGCGGGTCATGTTAAAGTGTCAAAATGAAGGGCTGTTTTAGTACATGATGGATCTGTCTCCAAGCTAACTCAAACTGAAGCCACTGAATAACTGTGATTTAACATCGCCGGGAGGGAAATCTCTTTTGGCCTCAACAGGAGCTTTTTTTTAAGGGTAAAAACTTTATTGAGTCATATCTAAAGGATAGATTCCTGTAGAGCGAGCAATTAACACATTTTGCTTCTAGTGTGCACAGGCAAAACGTGAACATGTGGTTAAGTTTTAAAAATAACAACATGCAAAAAATTCCCACAGAGTAGTCTTCATTTCCGAGCTATAAATATAGAAGAGCAAGTTAAGACAAAAATATATAAATAATTCAATTTCCTAGACAACAAGCTCCACAGCTCACCCACTCAGGCTATAACAGGCCAGTACAACGTGTTAATACAACTGTTTGAAGGCACAACTCCAACAACACCAACATGCTCTCCACCTCTCTGCTGTGGTGTGTACCAGGACTACAATACAACTGAGCAGTCAACACAGCACTTTAATACTGATTTACAGCCGGAAACATCAATCGTTTATGCATTCAAAGTCTAAAGTCTATTTCAGACTTTAAAAAGCAGAGTGTGATGGTTACCACAAATCTTGCAGTAAAGCATATTACTCAGACTGCAGTAATTGAATAATTTAGTAATAATCAACTCAGTAATTCAATAATAATTTTATTTTTTATTTTTTAAATTTAAATGTATTTTTGCTTTGCTGTGTGTTCAGCCAGATGAACATTTCCCTGTCGGGATGATAACAAAGATGACCCTACTTTGTCTTATCATTAGGACTAAATTAATTACTTTCAGTTCATTAGACTGGCTAATGCACATTTACTTATCATACATTATTATACTTGAATTATACAGGGGAACATCTGCAGTTTAATACTGATGATCGGTGAGTGTACAAACACCCTGAACACCCATATCTGCGCCAGTGCTTCAGTTGTGGTGCCCCAATCAAAATAAAAGCCTGGACATGCCCAAATTTGCTCAACAAAAGCTGCAGGCAAAACATTTCTCTGATGATTTTTTCAAAAATTAGAGTAAACATAACAGAACTTCAACTTCTGCCCCGGAAAGACAGTAAAAATGTGACTACTGTAGGAGCAGTACACCCTGACCTGTCAGTCGGGGTGTACTGGGTGCAAGTGAAACCACAGCGCATGACAGAAGGACAGATTGGCCCGTCCGCTATGAGTTAATCAAGATTAAGTTAAAAGGAAATTTATACCACACAGAGTGAAAGACTCTTCCTCTTGTACTGGCTTTAAATATGGAAAAAGCATTGAAACATAATCATAAAATGCTCATACTGAAACAGTTTCAGTGGAGTTCGGCAGGCACAGAAAGTGGGGTCCTAAAGGAATGACATACAGACTGGTGTGACTTACAAAGGTCCTGGGCTGCTTGGTCTGAGTATTTAATGTTGTTGCTGGTGGTTGTGTAGTGGAAGTAATTAAATGCTGGTCATACTAAAGGTTACATTATAATGCATATGTTCAAAGTGACCTGAAAGATCACCATTATATGATAACCCAAGGATGAGAATGATTTTCTCTGTTATACAGACACAGAGAAGAGCAGAGATCTATGTCTGTATGTATTAATGATGCTTTGCATTTTGCAGACAAGTTTTCCACAGCTGGGTATTCCGGATATTGCACTTATTTTATTTCTTAAAACACTTAGAAAAAATTACTAACACAATTTGCTAACACCACTCTACCATCTGTAAATGAATGCGCTTGTCAGCAGCCAGTAAGCATGCAACAAAGACTTAGAGCTGCAAACACTGCTAATCTTGCTTAGTCAAAAACTGACAAAATCAAACTTTCACTTGAAGTCTGATAGATCTGAAAATCTTTTTTATTCTTCTGCAAACTGGAACTTCTCAGCAGGACAGCTAAGGGACGTGTTTCTACATGGTTCCAATGTCATTTGCTCCCTTCTCCTAAAAACAACCTTGGGTTTTTCTCTAAAACTACTTTTAGTACAATCAGACTATTCCCCATGGGATAAAACTCAAACTAAGTAAAGAAAAGTCTGTTTCAGTGTGAGGTATGTGGAACAGAGCTGTGCATCACACCTCCGAGGATCCTGCTCTTTCTAAAAGTCAGGGAGATAAACTTGATTATGAGCCAAATTTTCTTCTTTTCCTCTAGTTTAGCACAGCTTTATAGCCTGAGTCAGGTAACCAGTCTCTGCATCAGAGACTGTGCTCAGTTTTTTTCTGTGGGCCCTATTTTCTGAGTCTGTAACACATCTTAACGTTAAGATTTGTAGGAATTGTGATGCTATTTTATCATAAGGCTGATTCAACAAACTCATGACAAAACACACAGAGATTTATCACCATCTTATGATGTCAATGTTAGGTAAAGTTTAACTGGACTGTGTTTGATTCAGAGGAAAAACTTTTCTGCTCTTCTTTATTGCATGTGAAGAAAGCAAACCCACTGTTATCAGGAGCATGTTGATGTCCATGAAAAGAGACAAGACATGCGCTGCATTGCAGATTTAATCGGTCAGTTTCCCAGCAACAACTGCTGACACTGATTTACTAAATGTAGTCACTGATTCTATTTTAAGGTTGAAAGTGGCTACAAATAACACAGCATTGGCATGCACACACATACACATGCATACAATTCAGAGCAATCAACCAGCAGCTATAGCATTTTTGAAGTAAGCAGGAGACATTTAAGTGAGGCTGATAATGTAGCCTGAAGGATCCTTCATCTGGGATGTTAAATACAGGTGCTTTGCCATATCTTACAGAGGAGCTAGGTGCCATTTGGAATCTGTGTCAAGGAACCCTTAGGAATTAAAGAAAAAAATATTAAGCATCTGTTCAATGAGCCCTATGAGATATGTATCAAGTAATCCCCAGGCTACTGTTTTAAATGGGTTCTTTGGTTCTTCTATGAAGTTCCTGTTTGAGAGTACTCCTCAGAATGTGTTTAAGTTCAACTTTTGGAGCCTGTTAACAAAGTTCAATTTAAATCAGTGTCGAGTTACCCTTTTGAATTTAATAAAAGTCAACTTTTTGAGACTTCAAACAGCATCAGTTCCATGAGCCCATGAAGACATGCATGTAAGGATTCTGTTGTAGCTGTTTTAAAGTACCCTGTGGTTTCTCTGTCAAGTTCACCAAGAGTATCTGTTTTACCGTGCCCCTCAGACTATTTAAAGTTCATCTTCAAGGCCTGTATCAAGAGCCAATTTAGAATCTGTTTCAAGGTACCCTTGAGCATGTCTTTAAAGTATCCTACAGATACTGCCTGTTTGACGTACCCTTAGCAGCTGTTTATAAAGATGGATTGGTTCAAAGCCGTAAGTCCTTTTAGCTTCAGTTTCAAGAAATCCGGTGTTTCATGAAAACTCTTAGCCTCTGTTTTATAAACCAGTGTCTTTTTGGAAATACCTGTCTCATCTGGAAGTAGTACCCTGTAGCTATTTCTTGGTACCCTCAGGCAGCCCTGTGTGGAGGTACTCTTTATATACTGGCTACAGTACCATTCTCCACCTGATTGAAGGTTGCACTTATTCATTTAATAAAGGGTCTCTTTAGCACATTTGTAATTATATAATTATACTGAATTCTTAACTCTTCATGATGTGGCACAGATGGTTTGGTAAAATCTAGACACAAGCCATACCTGGGAAGTTTCAGATGAGACAAAAATATTAAACACAAATAATGATACATTATGCCTTTTGCTCTATAGCAACCATAAAATTTTGATTAAATGTCAAGGTCTGACAGCATCTCGCTCAGACAGTAGCTATCCTTTTCCTATTTTCCTCCCAGCTAAAGGTAACACTTTGTTTGATAGTAAAAGATTGTACCAATGGTAAATAAACACAGAATAGAAGTGCGCATGATGATTGAGTACAACAGAACGTGCACACCTTTACATAAGACAACATACAGCTCCTTACATTTAAGAAGTGCAATCAGTGATGATCAGGTATCAAAGATAACAGAAAAATGACCATGCACACCACCATGTTTGGCTCATATTATTCTCCCTCAGTGTGGTATCGTGCATCTCAGCTTTTGCGGGGGGACAGATGTCTTAGAGCAGCACCACAGATGACTGACAGCTCGCAGCCTCTCTCAGACATTCAAATGGAGCCTTCACTGGTCTGACTGGACACCAGACACGCCACTCAACCAACTGTCATAAACATTAGCTTCAGATCTCAAACTGCTGGTCATGAACATCATGCCTCTCATGATCACGATTTGTTTTTAAAAACGAGACAAAAATATGCAAAAAGTAGAAGTATTACTCCAGTAGTAGTATTACTCTGCAAGAGACAAAGAAAATTAAATTTGTAATGGTATCATCTACTCATTTATATATTTTATTAAGTTGACAATTTATACCCATAGATATATAGATAACAATACTTGTTTTTTACTAAAATGATGCTGTACAGGGACTCTGCCAAACAAAGTTTCATAGCATGTCTTCATATTAGGAAATAAGGTGACTATCCTATTCTCTCTTATCCTGTCCTATATGCTGTTCTATCCTACCCTATAAGATGGGTGGGTATTTTGCAAATGTTTCGCTTCTCTGTGATTTCACCTCTGCTGCTGTGCACAGTTGCTCCAAAATGCACCTCAGCTCCATTTCATCCCACAGACGTGTTGGGGCAGCATGTCAGGGCTTTAGCATGTGATTGGGCACCAAGCTCTGTCAGCACTTCAGACTAAAGATAGATGGCACACAGACTTTAAAACCGCAGAGCCCATAGTGTGCCAACCATAGTGCACACACTATATACACACATAGCGTGTGCACATCTGAGGTTGTAGTTTGTTTCTGTGTTCGTAAAGAGACAACACAGCAGCAGAACTTGATGACCTTTTCTCCTGAGAGTGTCAAATAACTTTTCCTTCTGTAAAATGTTGAATGTGTCAAAACATGCTCAAATATCAAGCATTACAGACTGAACAACTGTAGGCCTTTGTTCTTATATGTTTGATCAAGCAGTCACCACTTCCAGGTCACCCCTATATAAAAGGACAATGAAAAAAGTCCAACCAGACCTCTACAGTTTTTACACCACCAAACTAACTCTAAATAACCACCGAACCACTACAAAATTACTGCTGCTCTGTAAGGCATGGGTAAATGATAATGTTAATCCTCATCTTAGTCAAGACAACCCAGACCCCAAGGACCCCAAGAATAAACCATTCAAAGCAAATGTTGACTCTGGGTGAAAACAAGAGTCCAGAGGAGTCCTGAGGAACCCAGGAACCGATGCAAACAGGGAGAGCATGCAAACTCCACAAAGAGGGGCTACTGCCACAAAAGGGATCATAGTGGAAACAATCTTGCTTTGAGGCAACAGTGCTGACCATGTGCAGCCTGTGGCACTGATTGTTTTATTAATGACAAAAATCTGGAAGCCCTTTTGCTGTCATCTTCCAGATTTAACAACACTTTTCAAAGACGCATTAATTAAAAACAGTTGACAAAGTCATAAAAACTTTAATCAATAGAGTCAAGCATCTCTGAGATTTTAAAAGAAAAACAATTCTATTCTGATGCCCAGTCTAAGGGGTTGGGATTTGGCATAATATTTTTACTACTCCTTTTATATGACTGCAGGGAACAAGAATGTGGCCTGAGTAGACTCTTCTGACTTCATACATCTGTTAAGAGCATACCCACCATAAAGGGCTTCTTATAAGAAAATGGTCCACTAGTTTTTGGTGAATAAAGTCCTCCAAATGAGACAGCAGGCTCGATATGTGGTGAATAATTTATAACACCACTACACTATGAAGAACTTGAATCAAACTTACCATATTGACCTCTGACACCATGTCTATACTCGCCACATCTATACTCATACCGACAGCAACCGGTCGACCTAAAAAGGCACAAAAGAAAAATAAAATTCAAGTTAAGCTTCATGTCTTCTGCATATACTATTAATACTACAACCATTTACCTCTTTAATCTATAACAACCTGATCAATCACAGCACTTGCACGCTGTTACATTGACTCCTGTATCTTTTTTCAAGTGTTTTTTAATAATCTATGTATAACAGGATTGTTTATATAAATTTTTATTTTATAGTTTATCTGTCAGGGTCTGTGCTTCCTTGTCCCTCTTTTGAGTGAATTATGTAAAACTGGAGTCATATTCCTTGTATGAGCCTACAAAGACAACTATGACAAAAGGCAAAAAAAAAAAAAAAAAAGAAAAAAAAAGTTATTCACAAGGTACAATTCAGACAAGATTAATTTAAGTGCTTTACAGGTTTGGAAACAGGAAATCAAGGAACCATGTGCATTAAAGAAATATGAGACCAAGCAAAACATTTAAGTTGAATATAATGTCAATGCAAAATATTGGATTATAAACTAGTGATAAAGAAAGAAAGAAGTAATTAAAGTAGCCTGCACAGGAAGAGGAGCTTTAGGGTGTCAACTGCACAAACATTACATGATACAAATAACATAACATAAAAATAATTTCACATAATACCAAAAAGGTTTCATCAGGCACACACACACATATGATGACACTGAAAAATATTTCATAATATGATATTTCATAGAATAAAAAGGTTCACAAAATGTAATATTATTATTAAATAGCTTGTCTTGTAAGAAGTGTTCATTGATTAATTCAATTATTTTCGAGCATTGTACATTATTTTTGTGAGTCTGAAAACAAAATCATGAAGTGCAAAAGATTTATTACAAAAAGAAAACGGTTTTTTTAAATGTAAAAATGTTCCCAGAAATAATTTTATGCTGTGCAAAAAATTCAACCATTTTTTATGTCTTGGAATACCTGTGCATTTTATAAGATTGAGATTTTATCATTTTTTCAATTGTTCAATCTATCTTGCCTATATTTCTCACACCCAAGGATACTACATTAAACACAACAAAAGTAATAAAATGCAAAAACATCATAAAACTTTTTTTTTTTTTTAGTTGCTATGAAATAGTTGTGCAGTTGACATCTGGGGCCACCGTGCGTAAAGGTCAAAGAGCTTGTGGTCAAACATACCTCCAAAGTCCGGTCGGAGACGGATGTCATATCCTTTCAATAACTTATCCACAGTGTCTTTCACGTAAGACATGTTGCCGGGTTCGTTGACGCTGAAACAGAGAAAAGAGATCAACGTTAACTTTTCAAAATAGAAACCAGCTCTGTCAGCCGAGTCTAATCTCTCAGACTCTCACCTCTGTGCACAACACACCACAACCACCACTAACGGCAGACACACAAACTCCAAGACCCCTGACGTCCGGGGTCCCCACATCCCCGATGTGAAGTCTGGGTGGGTGTTACGACTCGAAGAAGAAACCCCATCCGAGCGTCGCCAGACTAGGTAAAACCACGTCTTCCTCCTCCTCTCCCTCCACGTTGTTTCCATCGTTACCTCCGGCTGTGCCAACACGCTTCAAGGGGCGGTGGACCATTAACCGGGATGTCAGACGTGTTCATCGCTGCCCGTGATGAAGCAGCGGAGCCGGGGAGCCTCACACGGGCTGCTCCAGACCTCGATCCTTCGGTGAGTGTTTCTCAAATATCCGTGGTTGCACTTTAAAATCCACAGGTCCTTTTCTCGGAGGCTCCTAATTAAAAGTGTGTGGTCACCCCATCTGTCTCAGAGTCCAAACTGAAGATAACCCTGAGTTTTGAGTTATGACAGAGTGCCCGAGCCTGTTCTGGTCATAAAGTCCACGTGACGGACTGTGGAGCATATTTAATGGACTGTGCTGGATTGATCATGTCAGATAGAGCAGGAGTTCAATGAGGTGATGATGATTAACAGGCTCTTGTGTGCATTGGAGGGGAGTAGACTTAAGGTTATTAATCTGGTAGTTTAATTATATTTTGCTGAAGCTTACAAGTAGTTAAGTTTTATGCAGTGAGCAACTCAAGCTGCCAAACTGCTTCTGAGTTCATTGAAGTTAACACCAGAAAGTGCAGCCCCTCATCATTTTGGATCATTTAAAGAAAATTATTGTTTTATTTTTATTTTTAGCCCAAATTAAACCCTTTTGCTCATTCCCTACTCAGGCAAGGCATCACAAATAATGATGGTTGATATTACTGATGAATCGTCAAAGAAGCTGCATGCTTTCTAAGAAATTGTCTAGCTAATGGGGCTGGGCGATAAACTGAAAATTTACAGCTACTGAAATTTACGACAATAACCAATGTCATTTGGCCCATGTATATGTATATATATATATATATATATATGTATAAAATGAAAGTTAGTTTTGGATATGTGTAGGTAGGCTATGGTCTCATGTCCCTATAAGACGCTGTCAGACATCAGAGACATGACTCCACCCTATCCAGTCCATGAAAAAGAGGGAAAGACAGGTGAGGAGATGGAGGACGGTTCAAAAGTTGTAGCGTCCGGAGCGGCGCCTGAAGTAGATGAAGTTAATGTGGGAGGGGGTGAGCAGCTTGTGGAGTAGTTATCGTTTATTTATCGTTATCAAGGTGAACTGCTCAATATATTGTGATATTGATTTGAGGCCATATCGCCCAGCCCTACTAGCTGGCTAGTCCTAATAGAAGAATCAACACAGGAGTCAAGTTTATGAAAAGCAAGTGTTTCACTGAGCTAAACAAAATCAAAGCCAACTGTCTTATTTTCCAAGAAACTGGGATATCTATAAGTATGTGTGATCTGTAAGCAATTTATAAAACAGAGCTGTTGAGAAATAGTCTGCAGGAGAAGAAGCCTAAATCATTAAGTTTCTTTTGAACACATACATACACAGATTATGTGTGTTGCTCAACTGTGTGTTACGGACAGAGATGCAAATTATAGTTCAAAGGTTACCCTGCTGGTGCTGATGGAAATCAGCCTGCATGGGGGGGTTCTTAAGGAGGTTGTTTAGTTGGGTGTAAAACTGTAGAGCTAACACCATCAGTGGGCTCTTTTAAAAGCCTTTCTTGTGGAAAAATTAGTTAATGCAGGTTGGAAGAGGAACTCTTCTTAACAAGAGAGGCAATTTATTCTCATTAGTAATATTATATACAGTTTTGGTCCTAAAACAGAGAAACAGCTGTTAGCACCAGTTCACAAGCTACGCTACTGTTCTCCATCAACAGGGCCAAGTCTAAATTCATGGTAAATCAGTGACTCATATATCATTGATCGGATTTGCTGAATGTTTCATCATAGGCAAAAGAAGGCATTTGTGTGTTGTGTCTGCAATCAGTGCAAAAATAAAATAGGCTTTCTGATTGCAAAAAAAAAAAGAAAAAAAAAAAAAAACACTGTGAAGTCCCTCAGTTGAGCCAACACTCAATCCTAGAAGAGTGCCTGGATTGTAGTCTTCCAAACGTGTATGAATTATGTGGTGGACATGGTCCTGTCTGCAGAACACTGTGGCCTTGCATGCGTGCAGGCTCTTCTAGCAGTTTCTTTATAAATGGGCTGAGCTGATTAGCATTCATTCTGGCTGATACACTTACAAACGATATGCTACCCATACTTCAAATATACTGAAATATCCCTATATGGTGCATTTTCTTTTCTCAGAGTGTTTTTTTTTTTTTTTGCTTTATTGACTATACTGGAAGGAGTTCAATATCACTGCAGGGATCCAAATGTACTTGAGCTGGACTCTTCCTAACACATCAAACTGTTGAGGTCCTCTGCAACATTTAAGGAGTAATACAACTGCTTTATAGTACTGATCAGAGAGTGATTCTTACCTCGTATCATAGATGGCGAACAGCTTCTTGTTCCCGTCAACAGCATTCCTGCAAGAAAAAGATGGAAAAGAGTGTAAATACAGTGCTCACTTTAATTTTCCCAGTTTTGAACCCCCCTTCAACAGACAAGGCTTCCCCCACAAGGTCCACACTCACTACGTTGCTGCAGCTTCACAAAGAGATCATGTACTTGATCTAGTGGATAAGTGTGAAAGAAACCCCCTCTGTATGACTGGATGAGTTGTAGTTGACCCTGATCCTGGTGGAGATAAATGCAGAGCGATGAAACACAGCTCAGAGTTTAATTTGTTCTGCTGGCAGACGTGTCTGACACACTGTCTCTTGCTGCATCCTGGACTATTCAACACAGAAATCAGGACTCTGTTGTTTTTTTTCAAGGTTGTTGCCCTACTTCAGTCAGACCCACAACAGACTGCAGCAGCATGCATCTACACAAGAGATGAGACTTTCTGTGTATCAGCCTCACAAAAATTGAGGATTGGAATTTTTCAAGTAGGCCATAAAGTCCAGCTCAGCTCATAGTATACCAGCTGATCTTAGCTCCTGTCTATATCAGCTCAGTTCAGCCGATTACCTTCTATTCCAATTAAAGATGCCTTCTCTTCCTGCTGCCTCTGCAAACCATTTGCAACCCGCCTCCACCCTAGATCCTTATTTTTATGCTGTGTCTGATTTTACCAGTTTCCTACGTATTGTAGGTGCCATAATGTCTGAATGCTCTACTACAGGTAAGAGGATGGTATACCATAATGTGGTGTAATTTGCCCATATTTTGACCTAGAATAGGGAGATAAAGTTGTATTCGGTTAGACATATGTAAATCAGAGCAACATCAACCAGCATAGACAAGTGGACACTAACCTACGGGGTCTGTTAACATTGGATCTGTTAACATGGGGTCTGTTGATTGGTGGTGCTAGCTCTGCTGATGATAGCCACTCTGAACAATGTCAAGCCTATGTAATGTTGTGTACAGGCTGACTCAGTGATCCCATATTTAGCAGCGTTAAATAAACTGTGCTCATGTTTGACTGTTTTTCGTGTTTTCTTTCCTCTAGACCAGGTGATTGGTCTGAATTGGTCTAAATTTCTGTTTTACTGACGAGGAAATTAGTTACCTCCGAACATCCTCTCTGGGAATATTTTTACATTTCCTTCTTTTTTACTTTGGTTGGCCCATCTTTTGATGATTACCCAAACATAGTTTGGGCTGCAGACTCATAATTGCAGTGGAGTCATTTTTCAGTCATGTATCAATTCTTAAAGTTATATTTAACAATACTTATTAAAGCTTTTTCATGGAACTTTAAATATGCATCAACTGTGGCGCCCCCTGTGGACAAAGTAGTGTTTGCTTTTCCTGTCTTTCCCATGCTCAAGTAGTGTCATCAGGCAGAACAATCTCTTTCTGCTTACTTTTGGTGGTCAAATGTTAGTTTGTTTACATGTTATAAAAAGGCCTCAGTATGAATTTCAGTCTGTTTCATAAACATAAGAAAATACACTCACAGGAGCTTTAAAGCATACCACAGCAGTTTGGCACTTAAGTTCACACATTATCACTGCATGATAACACTGAATAACACTAAAACTCTGTTCAAACCAGCAGTAGGACCCCAAAGGACTATTACGGGAACACTGCAGCAATGAATATTGATCCTATGAAGCCCAAGTGTGTTGAAAAAATCCCCAAAATTAATACAGAGGTAGGTTGTGCCCTACATTTGATTGATTTAAGATCAGTAGGTGGTTACTAAAGATCTAAAAAGGCTGCAGAGGTCCCTCTTTTGGCTCTCATTGTTACTACTTTCTCTTAGTCGCCCCCTCTGCTATCTGCCTCCTCATCTCTCTCTCTCTCTCTCTCTCTCTCTCTCTCTCTCTCTCTCTCTCTCTCTCTCTCTCTCTTTCTCCAGCATCTCTCCTCCACACATCCTCCCCTCCCGCTCTCCTCTCCTCTCCGCACTACACGCTTCGTCTCTTCTCTTCTCCACTTCGCACTAAACTCTATTCGCATCGTCCCTCGCCTCTGGATACAGTGTTTGGTGGATTTTGTGCAGAGCTGGCTGTGTGCTCCCGTTCCTCGGAGACCACACTGTAAAGGATGGTCGGTCAGCACAAGTGCTGGGACGCTTTTCTCCTCCCGGTGCCAACCTTCTAATCGCTCCGGGGCCAAATAAACCGCGCTGACTGAGAAATTTGTTCACCTCCCCTTCTTTTTTCTCCCTCTGATATGCAATGACCGCGCGCAGATGGAGGTGACGCTCTGCAGAATTGATGCCAAATAGTAAACAAGTGCAATCTGCGCGTAAGGAATCTGCGGAGAAGTTTGACTGCGCATCGTCTTCTGTGGTAAGCTCTGGCAGCTGCGGCTCAGCCTGTGCAGCAGCAGCAGCGCTGTTATAATAGGCCAGAGTACAGTGGGAGATGTAGTGTGATGTGTGGGCATTGTGTGGCGAACATTCTACTGTACTGTATAACCGAGGTGTGCGGATTCTAGTGCTGGACGAACTGCACATCCTAGAGGCTGTAGACTCCGGAAAACCGCGGCTGTGAGGATGTTGGAGGAGAAAACGGGGTGTTCAGTCTTTATGGGGAACCAAGCGGCTCGACTGTGCAGGGATGTGGGTGCATAAGTGAGTCGTGAATGAGGGGGATGCGGTGCAGGGTGCGTACAGTCACAGCCGAAATCCTATAGGGGTTTACTGATGGGTCTTGCTGCGGTGCAGGAAGGATTGCCGGATTACAAGTCTTGGAAATTGGTGTAGCTGAGTTACACAGGTAGAGGCATTTCACACCTTTAGCCCTGACTCCATATCCAGCACAGATCAGCTTGTTTTCTGTCACAGCTCATCAACTTCTACAAAAGAGGCTCTTGCAGTGGGCTGTGTGTGTGGGAGAGGATTCAGCAATAATGAAAGAATGGATACAAGTTAGAGGTTTGGCACAAATAAACATCAGCTAACATCTGCACATTGTTCAGATGTTGGGCTGGAGGTTGCTGCATTGGACACGTAGACCCTTGATTTGTATCTGCGTATTTTGAATCTGAAGCATTTGTACACCTGAGAAAAATTAATGACACACTTTGCATCTCAACTCTTCTACCCAAAGCTCCCGAGATGGGTGGAGTAGGCAGATGATAGTGGGATGTTTGCAGGGCTAGAAAGAGAAACTTTGCACTCCTCTAATATCTGCAGGTCAGGGATGTTGGCATGTGATAAATAAAACAGAATGAAATTGTGCTTTAAGGTGTGTACGGGTTCTTGCATCTGGCATCATGAGCCTGAGTTTGCTTCTGAGACGTAGCATTTGTGCAACATTACTCTAGCACCTCTACAATAGAGGCTTGTGCAGGGAGCTGTGTGGGTGTAGATGTTCTAGAAAAGAAAAGACACGTATTTACAAGTGTGGGGGTCTGAGAGAGAGATTTTTTGGATTATTTAGACAGCTGCAAACATGCAGGTCCTAGATGTTGAGCTGTGGTGTTGAGAAAAGCAGAATGAACCTGAATACACATTTTTTGGTGTGTGGATGTTGCTGCATTGGGTACTGTGGCCCTTGATTTGTTTCTGTGATGGAGCAATTGAGATTTAAATCCCAAACACAGTCACACTTAAAGTGAAAATGAGTGAGCTTTCATTTTCCAATCAGGACTAGAAATGTGTTGTTCAAGCCCACAAATCAAAATTCAGCAATTTAAATATTTGCAAACATCTGCAGGCCCAGATGTTGTCCTCTAATGTTGAGAAAGGTAGAATGGGACTGTGCTTAAATTGAAGTGCGTTGATGTTGCTGCAGTGGGCATTGTGGCTCAAAATCTTGCTTCTGTAATGTAGCTTTTGTGCTCTACATTTTCACGCCACCTTCAAAGTTCCCTTTAAAAGGCTCTATCAGAAAGATTGTTCAGCTACAAAGCACATGTTAGCTAGTGTGGGATCTAAAAGAGATTGATTTTAGGTCATTGAGACATTTTTAAATATGCAAGTGTTTCAAATGTTAGTATCAAGAACGACACAATTTTGCAGACAAGGTTCACACAGTGTGAGGCTTGAGGGGGGAGTGCCCATGAAAGGAGGAACATGTCTACAAAGAAACTTTTCACTTTTCACATGTCTGTGAATATCTGCATGAATGCTGATGATATTATTCAGCTCTGTGGGTTGATATGCGACAGTGACGTTGCATTTGTGCTCTTTTTTGGGGATTTAGTGATGACTCTAGGAGATGTTTTAGCAAACAGTAGACACATATTTCGAGTTCAAAGAGCCAAGAAGTGAAAACATTGTATTTGTTTCCAGATTATCTGCAGGTCTTGCAGAATACTTTAAGTGATGGCGAAGTTAGAATGGAACTGTGGGTACAGTAAGGTGTACAAAGGTCTCAGGAATGGTTATAGCAACTTTGGATTTGCCTGTATGAATTTTTTTGTGCTCTGAATAGAATAATTCTCATTTCACAGCTTTAAGGTTTAAAGATTTTGTAGTGGAGAAGGTTGGCTTAATGACAGGTTCAGTTTTGGATGAGTACAAGTTTTCAAGTCTGGAGATCTACTTTTAATGCTGTCGACATCTAATGAGACCTGTCAATATGGCCAAAAGTTTTATCACAATAAAACTCTTTCATATCAGGTGATCAGGTGACTCCTGTTTTGAGGCTGACTGTAGAAGTGAAAGTTGATTAAACCAGACAGTAGTTTACCTCTCATCTGAGGTGAAATACTCTTATAAGAGTCTAATCTTGAATCCCTCATATTTTACAGTGCTTCTTTAAAATAATGTATTTCCTTTCACTAAAGTATGCAACTATGTGCTGAAAAACACTCCTGTGACAGTTTGATGACAGGTGTGACATTATTCCAAATGTTGGAATGTTGGCATTTGTGGTGTTTCCCCTCTTAGCTGGCACATCTTGCACAGTTTTCATTGCATTTTCCTCTGTAGGACAGAAAATTTAGTTAATTTTGGTTTATTTGCAGATAGTAGAAAAGTAGACAACAAACAGGATAAGTTTCAAAACACCTCTGAACGTCTGGAGTTTACTCTTTATGTTTTCACATGATTTAAACTGGAGGACACACCCTCTTTCCAGTCTGTCTAATTGCCTGTAAACATGTCTACCTCTGACTGACTGTTTCATGTTACTTTTGTCCTCCAAACTTCAATATAGGGTGGTAACTAGCATTTGAAGCATATTTGAGGCCTTTTTTCTTTTGCATTTAGCATTGAGACCCTTGAATTCCTTCAGCGATGCTAGTTTGCGCGTCTGTACAACTTTAAGTTTAACTCCTCACTTTGCTCCTTCAAAGATTTATAAAAGAATTTCTCACTAGAAGATGCTCTAACACAGAACAGACAAAGATGGGATCTTGATTTCATTAGACATCTGCAAACATCTGCTGACAGGGGGGTCCAAAAAGGAATGGACACATTTACAAGTCTCAAGCTCAAAGGAAGAGGAACTTGTGATATCTGCAGGTCTTAGGTGTCTTTTTGAAGAACCCACCCACAGACACATTAGTTTGCATGGAAGTTGCTGCAATATTTGTCTGTGTGGACCTGGACCTGGACTGTGTGCTTTTGTATTAAATGTGTGCCTTAAAGATGAACTCATCACGTTAAACCTTTATGCTCATACAGAAGAGACTCTTGCAGGGTGGACTTCAGAGGACAATTCAGCAAAGAAAGATCACATGTTTGCAGGTTAAAGAGGACCTTTGCATTATTGAAATACTTTCAAAGATATGCAGGTCTACAGATGTTGTTAAGTAGTGTTGAGAATGTCAGAATGCAGCTGTCGGCGTACAGTGATGTGTAGAGGTTGCTGCATTGGTCATTGTGGGTCTGGATTGGCTGATTTGATGCAGGAGTAAAACATTTTGGAGTCTGATTATGAGCTATTGAATCTTTTATATCCAAATTCATGTGATGGGAGTAAAATCTGACAAGCTGTGTGTTCATACTTGCTGAAAACTGATTGCATCAGAGTGGATTCATATATAAAATACTGGTATATGTGTTTTTATATGGGAATCTGTTAGTTTCCATGGTGGACAAATATACACTGCTGGAATAAGCAAGGCTTTGTAAGAAGGACCACAGTTCTAAAATTAGATTCTATTACTGCAGCCTTCATTTCAGCAGCCAGTCAACAAGGCTGGTGAGTTATTGTTGATTTTTTTTAACACTGAGGATGTGTCATTTCAGGAATGGGCGATGGAATGGGTTACAGCTTTGCAATGAGCCGTCTGTGGGTCTGTGTCCTGCTTGTGAGCATCACCTGCCGTCTGAGGTGAGGAACTGACTCCTGGAAGTTTGCAGCACAACACAAAGCCACAATCTGGATCTCACACCTCCATAGTAAACATCAACTGATTGTCAAGTTTGCTTGTATAACCAAAATTTAGCCTTTCAACAACACTTTTAATTATTTTCATGACACCATTTGAAGATTTTATTTTGTCTTTCTTGCTCATTTTTTCTGAAAGCAGAGATTAAAATGCAGTTCTATTTCCAGCCTCTCCCAGGAGGTAACTGGAACTCCCAAAGAGGCAGAATTAAACGACAACATCACCATCTTCACACGCATCCTGGATGGACTGCTGGATGGATACGACAACAGACTCCGCCCTGGGCTGGGAGGTACATTTTCAACCCCTCTACTATATTTGAAACAAAACACACAGATTTCATAGATGAGATCTATGAAAAGCTCTTTGTTTGCATCTCTATTTTTTCTGATAACACAAACACAGAGAGCCGTGTGCTTTTGGATAAAGATGAAAGAAAAACTGTGTGTATCGACAGCGCAGCGTGACAGATTACAGCCCTTCAGTCCTCACTGAAAACAATCCTCCGCTCTGCAACATCTGTCTTCTGCTCATTCCAGACAGGACAAATGTGTCTCTGTTCAGCAGGTCTCTGACAAAGAGACATGATCAGCTGTTTACGGCCCCTCTAAGTGTGATTTAATGGCACCGTGAACACACCCTGAGGCACACAGTGAGCCAGTGTGACCTTGAGAAAGCCATTATTCCTGACATTAAACAGCCGGGTCCATTGTTCTCAGCTGATACAGGCCGCAGCCAGGCAGACTCAAAACTTCTCATCAGGGAGAGGAAATGAAAGAAGACAGAGGTGGAAAGAGGTTACTTTTTGAGACTTCTTTAGCACTGCAGTGTCTGATGAAATCATACAGATTAACAAACAGTAAAGATTATGCTTGATGAACTCTGTGTGGCCTGAAAGAAGTAAAAACACTGCGCTGTATCGCTTTGATTTGCAGATGTTTCACCCTGTTTAAGCTTCGGGCTGTTTAGGACATGATGTAAAATCCTGGGGTCTGCTCTATAGGGTCTAAATAAACTTAATAAAATTATTTTTTTTATTTTTTGCTCATATCTTCTTTTTTATCATTTAGTGTTCTTATTACACTTACTCTCTGTTGTGTTCAGCCCCCCACCCCCCACCCCCCCCCACCCCCCACCCCCACCGTAATTCTTAGAGGTGTTAAAATAATCATTTTCCTGATGAGCGTCTTTGGGATGTAAAAAAAGAAAATTTTCTCTCAGTTTCTGTTTGTAAGAGAACAAAACTATGTACAATCGATCAACCAATCTTCATTTACAAAGCATCAATTCACGCCAAGTGTTACCTCAAGATGCTTAATAAAACAGCTGGTCCAGGCTATACTCTATTTACAAAGACCCAGGGCTCTATTTTCGTGTACGCCGGTGAGGTGGCGGAGGGTGGCGGACCCCGCGCAGTTGTATTTTCGTCTGGCGGAGCCCGGCGTACAGCCAGTTTAGTATTTTTATGGACTGAGGCGCACAGAGGCGAACCGAGATCCGCCGAGCTGGGCATGGTGGCGTGGCAGGGGGAGGTGTCGACAGAATCAGCAGGCGCAGTGACATTTTTTAACTTGCAAGTGGCATATTAAGTGCACTGAAAGCTCGCCGATTCAAACCTGGTCAGCTTTCAGCGCAGGCGGAACGCAGCTGGTCTGGTGGTATTTTGGTAGACCGGCGGCGTATCGACATACGTCACTGATGCCTCACCAGCGGGTTTCCACAGTGTCAGGCACATTTCAGTGCAATAAATAATCATCATCAACTATTAATCTGAGTCAGCACATACATTTAGATCTATGGATATATTCTGATCTATATCTGATCTGATGAGCGCGTTTAGCACGGGTTTGGACACACAACCTGACCGAATCCACACAGCTGAAACCGCATTAAATTAAATTAAATATCTAGTAAATAAACACACATGATGAAGTTAACTACATATGTAATTCGTCTCCCTCCTTTTCCTTCTTCCTCTTATTTCTCGTGCAGCTCGACCTGGACATGTCTCCGTGTCCTCTCTCCGTCCTGCAGCGGCTGAACAGATGATTTGTTTCAGTGCTCAGATGAGTTATCTACTTTAAGCCGACATACGGATATTATAATATTCAGTTTTGTGAGCCAAATTTATTTGATATGCCAACATCTATGAAAGAAAGAGCCAGGCCACGGAGCGCGATGCGTCATTTACGCACAGATGGTTCTGATTTTAATGCCATTATTGGAGTTTATGTTGTGATCTGTGCGCTCAACCCACCTTTGTCACGTGAGGTTTGAATATATGCAACTTGATGTGAGTGTCTTTATTTGTGGAAAAGGGTGTTTGTCTTACCGGTGGGTCCAACATTACACACACCACGACCATGCTACGACTTACGCCGCTGGGAGGAGCTGAGTTAGGGAGGGGGGATACTTACGCCGGGCTGCAATGCTCACTACAATACCAAATTGTGCTTGGGAACACCTTGTTGGCGCGGCGGACCTGACTTACGCCGCACCTGCGGCATGTCTCCAGCAAGGCACGAAAATAGAGCCCCCAATATTAAGATGAGATACAAATGAACCCAATCTTGTAAGATCAGACCCACTCCCATCCCATCTTTAACCACATGAGTGAAACACTTGACAGCAGGGTCTTGCTATATTTTAGGTTCCGTTTATATATACACTCACCGGCCACTTTATTAGGTACACCATGCTAGTAACGGGTTGGACCCCCTTTTGCCTTCAGAACTGCCTCAATTCTTCGTGGCATAGATTCAACAAGGTGCTGGAAGCATTCCTCAGAGAGCTTGGTCCATATTGACATGATGGCATCACACAGTTGCCGCAGATTTGTCGGCTGCACATCCATGATGCGAATCTCCCGTTCCACCACATCCCAAAGATGCTCTATTGGATTGAGATCTGGTGACTGTGGAGGCCATTTGAGTACAGTGAACTCATTGTCATGTTCAAGAAACCAGTCTGAGATGATTCCAGCTTTATGACATGGCGCATTATCCTGCTGAAAGTAGCCATCAGAAGTTGGGTTCATTGTGGTCATAAAGGGATGGACATGGTCAGCAACAATACTCAGGTAGGCTGTGGCGTTGCAACGATGCTCAATTGGTACCAAGGGGCCCAAAGAGTGCCAAGAAAATATTCCCCACACCATGACACCACCACCACCAGCCTGAACCGTTGATACAAGGCAGGATGGATCCATGCTTTCATGTTGTTGACGCCAAATTCTGACCCTACCATCCGAATGTCGCAGCAGAAATCGAGACTCATCAGACCAGGCAACGTTTTTCCAATCTTCTATTGTCCAATTTCGATGAGCTTGTGCAAATTGTAGCCTCAGTTTCCTGTTCTTAGCTGAAAGGAGTGGCACCCGGTGTGGTGTTCTGCTGCTGTAGCCCATCTGCCTCAAAGTTCGACGTACTGTGCGTTCAGAGATGCTCTTCTGCCTACCTTGGTTGTAACGGGTGGTTATTTGAGTCACTGTTGCCTTTCTATCAGCTCGAACCAGTCTGGCCATTCTCCTCTGACCTCTGGCATCAACAAGGCATTTCCGCCCACAGAACTGCCGCTCACTGGATATTTTTTCTTTTTCGGACCATTCTCTGTAAACCCTAGAGATGGTTGTGCGTGAAAATCCCAGTAGATCAGCAGTTTCTGAAATACTCAGACCAGCCCTTCTGGCACCAACAACCATGCCACGTTCAAAGTCACTCAAATCACCTTTCTTCCCCATACTGATGCTCGGTTTGAACTGCAGGAGATTGTCTTGACCATGTCTACATGCCTAAATGCACTAAGTTGCCGCCATGTGATTGGCTGATTAGAAATTAAGTGTTAACGAGCAGTTGGACAGGTGTACCTAATAAAGTGGCCGGTGAGTGTATATATATATGTGAGTGTGTATATACATTAAATTTTTTCTTAATTACAACATTGGTTTAAGTTCTTAATACTACGAGCTTTATTTTTATAACTGCATTTTTGCACTTTCTTTGTCTGTGATGCTGCTGTGGCAAAAAAAAAAAATTCCCCCATAATAAAGGAATATTCTATTCTATTCTATTCTATATATGGATCGACTGTACTGTCAAGGCTCACAATATATTTTCTCTATTATTTCAGAAAAGGTGACAGAAATTAAAACCAACATCTTTGTCACAAGCTTTGGTCCAGTTTCTGACACTGAAATGGTAAGAGGACACTTCCCATACAGTCACATTTAACTCGCACTGCATTGACAGCCTGTTTTACTGAATACATTCAATCAATTTCTTATTTTTTGCTTGTAATGTCTTGATAAACTATCTGAATCCAAACTTTCAGGTCAATGTTAATCATATAAAGTGTAATGAGATTCTTCTGACATAACCTGAATAGACTTGGTAAGATCTGGCTTTTTTGGGGGTGAATAAGCATGCTCTTCAGTGTGTGTAGATTTCCTCCATTTATAAAAAACAAATCTAAGATTAGAAAATGTGTGAATGCCAGAATCTTCTTTAAACTGCATGAATAGCTTTGAGAAGGTAATTTCCTCCTCATATCAGCTGTTGAGTAAAACCTAAACACTGTCCTTGATTGCAGGAGTAACTCCAGGCGAGTACTAAACTCTGATGGATAGAGATCATGTTCAGAATGATTTACCGTGTATTTTGATTTAATTTCTATATCATTTCCTCTATAGGAGTATACCATTGATGTATTCTTCCGCCAAAGCTGGAAAGACGAACGGCTTTGCTTCAAAGGCCCAATGGAGACACTCGCCCTAAATAACCTGCTGGCCAGCAACATCTGGACTCCGGACACCTTCTTCCTCAACGGGAAGAAATCCATCGCACACAATATGACCACACCGAACAAGCTGCTGCGGCTGCAGGATGATGGGACTCTGCTGTACACCATGCGGTACGCTCACCTTAAGCCTTCTTTAAACTGACAGCACACACACACACACACACACACACACACACGCACACACACACACACACACACACACACACACACACACACACACACACACACACACACACACACACACACACAGGCACATTAACCCTGTTTTTGGCTGAAGGAACATTCACCTTAGCTCTGCTTTAAACTGAAGGTACAAAAGGATCAACACTCGTCCTGCAGTAAGTCTTACAGCCATAAATCAGTGAGTCACCAGAGCCAATGAGGTTTCTTTAAATTGTTGTGTAATCCAATTAGAGATGACTAAAAGCTCCATCAGCCTGCAGTGAGTCTTTGGTGATGGTTTTTAAGACCCCTGCTGCTCTCCCACAGCCCACACACTCTTGCTACTCGTCTCCATGGTGCATCGATGCGTCATCATGTTGTCCTCTTTCTGTAAACTGGAGGTCAGGGGAACTAAAATGTTTGCTTTGACCTGACGCGCTTACTCTCCTCCTCCTACCCTGCTCCTCCACCCATAAATACATCACCTCAGAGCAGGAAAACATGCTTCAACAACTCAGCCAAAGTTCTACTGTTGCATATTTTGGAAATTATTTTATGAATATGTAACAGTACAAACCACTGAATCAAGTTTAAAATACTGCATTTTTAGAGCTCAGCAAGTATGGGAGTGATTAGACGTATTAGCAAAATATCAGGTGCCTGTATAAAGAATGCAAGAAGAGTGTCTGATCATGGACGAAGGGCTTGAATTTGATGGGTCTGATTCTTGTTTGTTATAAAACTGGCAATAACATCCTTAAAAATAATATTGATTTTGTGCTAAAATAAGCATAATGTAATGTTTGGTAACTAATTGGTTCACAGTGGGTTGTCAGTTTTTCAGTGACATGTGCAAATGCTGATAACAAGAGAACAGGACGGCTCATGCACAGTACATTAAACCATTGTGATATTAGATGGAGTTTTAATTATTTCTTGAAAAAAGACAATATTGGGTTATCCTATAGATTGTAGAAAATAACTGGTATATATGTCAGAGGCAATAAAATAAAACTATATCCGTCATAACAGAATGTATATTAACCACTACCTACTAACTATTTAAGATTTTGAATGCTGATATACACGATGGAAATTTAGAAATGACATTGGCAACATAAGCCTTGTGAGGGCCAATACCACTGTGATGCTGATTATGTCAAATTGCCATTAACTGACTCGAATAATCTGTTGATCGATTAATCATCAGTCTCTAATAGTGGGAAACAGAACTTTTTTTTTCTGCTGGATTCCACCTACTGCAGTAAAGACCAGGAAGACACAGATGGCACAAAGCCAACAACCAGCTTGCTCTAGGAGTCCTCAGAAAACTAGTCCAACGCTATTTTTCATCATTGATCATTGATCTAAGTTAAAGATGAAAATGAAGGAGCTTATTGCCCATAATTGATGTTTTACCATTTGTTTGTGTAACTACTATAGGCCAGTAGTAGCCTATACTTTATTTCAAAATAAGAGGTTTTTATTAAACAGAAAATAAAACAATCTAAATGCAATCAAAATTAAAAAATAAAATAATTATAAACAAGTGTTCACTGTGAAAATCCGTTGTCCAAAGATGTATCTGTCACAGAGATGGTGATTTAAATTACTCATGGCTTTAAACTTCATTAGAAATGTATATAAAGATGTGTAATCAGATCAGCTGCATTTGTTTGTAAGGTTTGTGAAGCGACATCTCGCTCCACCTTTGTCTTGTCATGCCCTAAATTTGACAAAATGTTACTGTTTTTACCTAAATTACTGTGGACAGGGATCCTGGTAATTGAAGACTCTCTGCCTGTTACTATGACAACAGAAGTTGCTGGTAAACAGAGCCGCTCTTTCAGCAGTAACACTGGTGGTCTTACCTTCATCATCATTAGTCTTAATCCAACAGCAGAATCAGTAATGTTATTTGTGTATCAGCAGTTCAGCAAATTAATTAGTTTCAGAAAAAAGATGAAAATGAGAGATAAACAGTTATTTAAAACAGATTTAATAGGGAAATGTAAGTACTGTAAACATGGCCATCAAAGTACAGTAGCAGTAAATTCTGCCTGCACAAGAAACTTAAGTTAAAACAATTTTAAATAAACTACAGCCTTAAAGTGCCTTCTGCCAGAAACACAATGTAAAACGACATTTTTTTAACAATCGATTACTACTACTACTACTACTACTACTACTACTACTACTACTAATAATAATAATAATATAAGGTTAAAGCTATTATTATTATTATTATTATTATTATTATTATTATTATTATTATTATTATTATTATTATTATTATCCTCTTTAGTCCTCTTTAAAACAAAAACATCATAATCAACATGATAATAACTTCAAGATCACTGTGTAGTATGTAAAGTGTTGTGTCTGATTGCAGAACATTACCGTCATTACATTTCTGACAAAGCAGCATCTCATTTGGATCCACTTTCCTACCACTGTCCTCATCTTTTCAGGACATTAAACCTTCCAGACCTTCCTGCTGGAATTGCAACAAATCTGCAGCACGTTTACTCTGCACACTACAAGCCATTAGAAAAAAGGTTCGGGCCGGTCAATGTGCTTGTGTTCTGGGAACAAGGTTATTAGAGAAACATTTTATGCATGCATCACTCTCCTTCATTGTTTTTCACAGAAGGAGAAGTGAGCAGCGCCCCGGCTAGTGTAGCGTGAAAATACAGCACGTCTCTGAGGGAAAGCGGAGTGTGTCCTCACAGCTCTCAAATTTCCTCTCAGTCTAAAACATAAAATGTACCTGTGCAGGAACAAAAAACAATGACGGCAGCAGTTTGTCTCTTTTGTTTCAGCTGTTCATCTCTCTGCTACTCTCCTTTGTCCTTACTGCTCATAATGATTTATTAAGGAGGCAGCAGCCCATAAATTAGACTTCACTGATTAAAGACCCTCAGAGCTGCACTTTACAGTAAAACCCGGCAGTGAGTAGCAGTCCGAAAACAGATCCAAAGCTGGACTAACCAAGATAAACTTCACATCATATTGTATGTATCTGTATTTGAATAATTGATCCGGAGCAAAAACACTCATGTATGTGTTCAAACCACAACAACAACAGAGACAGCAGAGGCAGATTTGTCTCCAGGAACTAATAATGGTTCGCATGATAATGCGTTATCATGCATATTCCTGAACAAACATTAAAAAAAAACAAACAGGCCATATACTCTATATTTAATATGCAGTGCTTCTATGTTGTATTTTTTTATTGTAAGTATTTTCTTTAAACTCCTGTTAGCTGTTTTAAGGTCCTTTCACACCAGGACCGTTTTTGTTGTGCGATTATTTCGGACTTGATTTTTTTTTTTCGAACCCATATCCTGTCAATACAAGCGTTCACATCAGCGACATTTTCCCATCCTGCGATATTGCAGCATTTATTTTTTTGGATCATGGTCGATTTTTCTAAAGTTTCGCATTCTGTGTGACTTCTGACCAATCAGATGGCATGTTGTTGTGACGTCTGATTCACTGGTATACTCAACATATCCAACATATCCAGCCGGCTGATCGTTTTTGTGTGCTTTTTGACAAAAGGCACAAACATTATAAAGATAACGACCTGAAGGACAACTTGTGGAGAGTCATAGTGTCGGATATCTCATATGACGATGGTTTGTGTGCTTTAACAGTTTGCTAAACGTATTTGTTTTAACTTTCATCTGTGCTAACGTAAGCTAACGGTTGTTACCATAGTTTCATGAGCTTATCTGGTACTGGCCCCGACTCAGTATTTGCTATCATGACAGAAAGCCATCTCAACACTAGCATTTAATCAGAAACGAAAACAATCAGTGACCATGGTACAGTTTCAGCTCCTGAACCACGCAGTGAAACTCACCAAGTTCTCTTCTTTTTTGTAATATTGGATGCAACCATGTGCTACGTTTCTTTTTCTTTTGAGAAAGCAAAAGAAGTACCAATTTGCCATCACTTGAAGTTGAAGTAGACTCCATTTTTGTCCTCTTGTTTCCACTGGGGACACTGTAGGTTGTTAAGGGAAGGTCCTGCCCTCCTTAGCCTCTGATTGGCTAGAAGTGCTGACTGTTTGGCTTGAGCGTGTGATGACGTTTCCAGCTTCCCCGTTTTCCTAGAAAAGTCTTCCCCGGGACGTGTCTTTTCCCCTCGGGAAAGTCGCAAAATCGCATCAGGCTTGATGTGTATAGTCAGGTGTGACAAAATTCACCTCCAAAAGTTTCGTGATTTCACGTTCTATATTTGTGTCGGCCCCAGTGTGTAAGGACCTTTAATCTGGTTATGAAAAGACTGAAATTATTAATTATGTTTCTTCACAACCCTATAAAAGCAAAGAAGATTTTTTTGTCAGGAGATAGATTGTTTCTATAAAATTATTTAAAAGGATTGCAAATGCTGCCAGGGGCAGGTGTCAGACAAGGTGATCAATGGTACATTAAAGAATATTTGATGCCAACTATCTATTGAGAGTGACATGTTAGATGTTTTAAATAAATTACTTCCACAAGACCAGGACAAGAACAGCAAAGAGATGAGATGTACCCCTTTAGTGCCACTGGAAGCGCCAAAGTCAACAATCTAGAGTTCTTCCAAAGGAGCTTTAACTGAAACTGTACAGCTGTGTGCATGATTCCAATATGTTATGTCAGGACAATTTTTATTGTTCATCTCCAACTGTAATGGCCTCTTTGTTTATCCCTTTGAAAAAGTAAAACACTGCCTTAGCTTGAAACACAAACTTGATAAATTCAACCAAATTCAGTGAAATAAAGTGGGCAAAAGAAAGAACCTGGAAAAAACTAAACCACCACATTTGAAGGGGCAGCAGCTGTAGCTCAGTCTGCAGGAACTTGAGTTGGGAACTGCAGCAATGCAAGTTCAAGTCTTGGTAGGGACCGTGTTTGAAAATTGGGCTGGGAGCATAAGAGTTTATTTCAGGGGTACTGTCAATGTTTGCTTGGGCAAGGCACTAAATCCCCAACAGTTTTAGGAGGCCATGGCTACATTCACAGGACCAAATCAGCAAAGACCTCTTTGTCCTAAGGGCACATCAAACTCAACAACACCTGAAAGTCCCTCTCAGGAGCTTTAAAATAAGGTTCAGTAACATCTCTGTTTGACATTTTGAATGCAACACAAACACACTCACAGCAGTCCCAACTCCTTTGTTCAGCTCCGCATAATAGTTCGCCAGAGAGTGATACAGGACACAGCATAGTCTTTCTGAACAGGCCGCTAAGCGAAGGCTGATTATAATTCAGAATAACAATGAGCTCTGTAATACATCACCTGCAGTAAAATCACACACTCATCAGTATTTTTCTTCTCTGCCTCACTGTTCACATCTGCAGGCCGATGTGAGTTGATGTGGGGAATATTTTCACTAGAACTGATGACACAGCAGATGACCTTTAATATACAGCAATCCCTCCTCACAGTTCAATTTAAAACCTAGTTTTATTAATGCATTGTATTAGCATAACATGGTATAAGGCCTTATGAGGGACTCTGCTTATGCAAAATACCCCATTTGCTGGTGACATTTTTGGATTTGGGCAGCAGGGAGCCACATGTGGAGGAGCAGTATTGACACCCTACCTCCTTTGTTCACCCAAATACACTTTTACCTTTTGCCAAAATATCAGCGACCCCAGATTCTAGTACTCTAGTTTCAAAGCAGAAATTCACAGTTAACAGTTCAGCTGACTCTCATGTCATTGTTTGTTTTGTTTCCCCTCACTGTTCCTCCTCTAATCTCCTAATCTGGGTCTGAGTGCACCTGCCAGGTCTAACCTTATGCCTAATTTAGAGTTGATAGTTACAACCATCTTAAGAGGAACTCCTCTTCATATGACCAGTTGACCTTATTGGATTACAGTTGTAATATTTTAGATGATTTTTTTCCCAAGAAACTAATAGTAACTATCTGTGAAACATACAGAGTGGTAGTATTGGAGTAGTTCAGAGCAGGCTGTTCATGCAGTAAGGAGCAGAGAGTGAAAAAGACAGATGAGCTTTTAATCTGACCCTCACCTCTCTGATTTCTCTGATTTTTACCTATTTTGAGAGTTATTCCTTTAGAGTGGCCTTCACTTACCCTGTGCTCAAAACGTTTTTTTGGTCCATCACCACAAATGTGAACAATGTTAAGGGGCGTGGATGAACCATACAATGACAAAGTAACAATGGCAGAATACCGGTGAGTTTATCTCTTTTTAAATCTCTCTAGAATGTAGAGATCTTCAATGTTATTTTGGACTCCATACATCTCAAATAGACAAAATGTTGATCCAATGTCTTATCATACAGAGTTCCTCTAAATTTAAGTCCTTTACCAGATTGAAATGTGGCTCTGTCCCCACCCTGCAGGTATTGCTTTATAAGGTTGATTTGGTAACAGACCTTCATTTAACAGATTATATTCACAGTTAACAACATATATGTCCATAAAAGGAGCAGGATAAGAGATTTATGTTTAAAAAGTACTTACTCGTTAACAAGAAAAGGTCAGCAGAGTGAAAAGATTTATAGTTTTGCCCACAGGGGGGCGCCAAAATGTAACTTTGCTGTTCCATGCAAAGTTAGACCAGAGTGAACACTTGAAAGGAAACTAAAGTGGCCCAAACTCTACTGTTCAATAAAATGACTGTATGTTAAGTCTCAAGCGAAAGGTAACTCTGAACTAAAGCTAAATAGATGCAGGTATGGACAAAGTATTCTACCATCTGAACAGTTGTCAAAGTGTAAAAGGTGTAAAATTATCATCTTGTATTCAGTTGTGGGGTCCAACATAAAAGAGCACATGCTCTAAAAGTCTCCCTGTCAGTGTCACTGAATCTTAATCTTTCTAGTTGGATCTGTGTGGATGGCAGCTGGTCTGACTCTTATAAATCCGTCCACTAGAGAGCAGCATTAGATAAGACTGTCTGGCTGATAGTACCTTCCAAATAAACTCTCTTGTCTGGTGTTTTGAATTTAATAAAGCCTTTTGTTTTTAGGCTTTATTTCCTTTCCACAGACAGGTGGCACCCTAACTCCACAAAATAATCCTCTGCTGTTTTCCAAAATGATTCTTCAGCTCAGATTTTGCACACACAGTTGCATCATTCTGACTGGATGAGCTCTATCATGGGTCCCTCTGGTGGTTCAGTGTCCTATTGCTCTGTGCTGTGAGGAAAATGACATTTCTGACTGCTGGTACCAATCTGAGCCACTCTAATGAAGATGGAGCAGGGTCCTTATTGGTTAATGGCTGCATAGAAAATTAAACACAAGACAAATGAAGCAAATCATTTACAATGAGGGGACATGTTAATTCCTGTAAATGGTGACCATTATGATGATCATTAAGATCGTGATGATCATGATGATGTCTAATATTGCTTTGCTGATTTACCTGTGCATCACCATGAGGCGTCTTTATTTTCTCTTAATGAAACAGGTTTTATTTGATATCTCACATTTTGCATACTTTTAGGTGTACTTTATGTTTCTGTCACATTTCTACATGTTTTAGTTGCGCAATACATCCTATTTTGTCATTTACGTTTATTAACCATTTTATGCAGATGCCATTTTTAGCTGTTAAAGTGACAGCACCATGTCTCAACTACAAGGTGGTAAATCCACAACCAGATAGATAGAAATGAGCTGTTAGGACTTCTTTCATTTAGATCTTGATTGGAGTATACATGTACATTTTTTTTCTGTGACTGAAAATACATCTGACCTCCTCAGCAGATGTCGTGCACTAAAGAATACATTTTGCCATTGCATCCATAGTAAGATTCAACCTCAGTTTTTGATGTTGAATTTAAAATTGTGATATATCTATCAAGTGAATAGTTTTATTAAACAGCAATATTTAATAGTCTCAGACTGAAAAGACAGATTCACAACTCCCTCCAAATTAAATGTGTTGGTAAAAAAAGTTACTGAATTCAAACAAAAACATCACCTAATGATTTGATAATCTTTGCATGAGAGGGTAAAATCACAAGTTAGGTCTCCAACAGCCTGGCTTGGCCATCCAGTTGTGTGAATCACTTGCCGTTCCTTCCCACAACAGTCTGGACTCCGGCCAATTGGGAGCCCTAAAAGTGGGAAGTTGTTGTGGGAAGGAACGGCTAGTGATTCACGCAACTGGATGGCTCAGCCAGGCTAGGTCTCCAATACATTAACAACAAATGTATTTGCAAATGACACAGATTTACTTTGCTGTGGGGAAGACTTGTGGGCATTAAGTTACAGAAATTGAAGGGTTGGTCTCATTGAAATAAATTAACTCTCAACTCTAGCATAACTTTATTTAAAATATTTGAAAAGCGGGTCAACCAACTTAAGCAGAAAACTTGTGATAGATGAGGTAGAAATTAAAAGAGTTTTCAAAATCAAATTCCTACAAATTATAATTAATGGTAAACTTTGTTAGAAAGAGCCCATAAATGATGTCAAAGCAAAAAATATATATAAATCAGTTGCCATTTTACATCATATTCCCATACATGAGTTACTGTGTGGAAGTTTGAGGAAACACATACAAAACAGATACAGACTTGATCGTCATCCTTTAACAAAGAGCCGAAAGACTTATCAGAGTATTGACAAACCAACTCCTTATTTAACTGAAAACACTAGAGTTTAGGGACCAAGTCAGCTTCAAACCAATCAATTTTACATTCAGAGTTTAAAGCTGACAACTAGCCACAGTGTTTGAAGTTTTTTTTTACAGAAGGGGAAAATGAACACAACCTCTGAGGACTAAACATCCCTTTGTCTTTTCAATTGCGGTGATGGTGTGTTTTGCTGAAAGCTTTGTGTTAACTCTCATGTTGTTAGCATGTATCAATGGGCTGATTCTGTTAAGTTTATATTTACTTATGTTGCCATGGTTACATTTGTTGTGCTTCCTTCTCTTGTTTGCTTGTCTCTTGATTGGCTATCGCTGTGTTTAAATGTTTTCTAAATTCACTCAAAACACACTTCAAACCACATGATGATCCAGAGGATAATCTCCAGGACAATGTGATCATCAGGCCTTTGCTGACTTTTGTCCAAAGGCAAAAAAAATAATTTTCAAGATAATTCTTTAATGTGCAAACCTTTGGATCAGTGGCCCTGATCAAATATAACCATTTGAAAGGAACAGGAGCAAATCTTTTAAGACAACATATCATACAGATGTAAAAATAAAATAACAAAGGGGTTAAACTTTGTAGATATTCACTAATTTTATTTTGTTGTTGCATTGTTATTGTTGTTGCAGCCTATGTTATTTGTTGTTATTTTGAGTGTTCAGTAAAAATATCTGATCTAGGACCTTACCTGTGTCGGAGTGCTAACACTAATTGCCTGCAAATGTTTTATTCTGCTGTTTTTTTATTTTTATTTATGTATTTGTTTTTTTTGAAGATGTCATAATATAATAAATAATATTGCTTAGTCCCTGTTTTTACCATCTATTTTCAGGTATAGGAGCGTGTATTTGCCTTGCTGGGAAGTACTCAGAGCTGCATTTCTTGCACTAAAAGTGCAGCACAGCCAAAGTTAATTTCTATTATTTTGACTTTTATGCATGACCTCTCTTTTTCAGACTGACTATATCAGCAGAATGCCCCATGCAGCTGGAGGATTTCCCGATGGACGCCCATGCTTGTCCCCTCAAATTTGGAAGCTGTGAGTAAACAAGGCCTTAAGCAAATTCACACAGTAAGCTGCATTCATAATGCAGATAAAGGTACCGAGTCAATGCCTCTGCAGCATATGTACTGTGACACATGAGCTCTGAATGTATGATGTCATTAGTGTGAAAAGTGGCGTGTAGTTTTGACATGGCATCAGTTTTAGTGTCTTGATCCAGAGGGGGGGGCTGCAAGATCGATGTACCTGGGTTTGTCTGACAGCCTGTATCCCTCAGGTGCTAAAGCTATTGTTGTGGCGGTGCAGGAGATAGCCATGTAGACAGTGACACACTGCTCCTGATTAAGCCATTAATCAACATGTCAGGGCCTCTCTCCTGCATCCTTCACTGCTCCAGCTTCTGTTAATGGGAAATATTTGAAACACACAAAGTGGAAGCAGTCTGACACACACACAAAAACCTGTCTTCACTGCCATGGTAAGCTTAAAAACTACATCCTACAGCTTGCACATGCACGGCTAAACCTGCTCGTATCTTGTCCCCAGCCCTTCACATGACTCATAAGCTAGTTAGGCTGCGTCACACAGCCGCAGTTCTGCAGGGAGATCTGGGGAGCTCCTGTCGTGTCAGCTTGAGATTAGGATTTTAGGTCTTCCCTGCACTGACGTATGGAGGGTTATCCGTCGTCAGTCTGCTCTGTGCATGACATTTAGCCGCTCCCACACCTGCTTTGTTCACCTAAACCCGCGGCTGAGAGCAGGGGATGGGGTTAATCAGAGCCAGTAACTAGGGCTAACCTGGGATTGTGCTCTTGAGGCCAAGCAATCAGACATCAATTAACTTCTCAGAGAGCCCAAAAAGCCAAAACCTACTCGGATTAATGGGAAGAAGTTTAGACACAGAGATCTTTACCCCATGTCCTGCAGTATCTGTGTAACTGACAGTATAGGCTAATGAGATACTTTGTTTAATTAAATTATTGATCCATACAAGAATAATAAGTCAACATTGAGTGAAAATAAACTCTTCAAAAAGTTTCAAAAATGTTTAATGCTAAACTGATCTGGAAGAGTATTAAGTATGCAGCACTATGTTTCAACACTTAATTATCATTAATGAACTAAAATTGCATTGGAAACAGAGTAAGGGCTTGTATGTTGATGAAATAACACATTAACTCACATTTTCTTTCATAGTTTTTTTTTAAAGAGGGGACTTAATTTTTGCAAATAGTTGCATGAAAACTTTACTGCTGTTAATCCCATCCAAACAACTTATAAGGTTTCAATAGATGCTTTCAAACTGTAACATTTGGAAAAAATATGTGCATAAATGCTTTTAAAGGCCTCTACACCAAAAGTAGGGCTAATTTTCACAGTTTACAGACTTTTCTTACAGAGTAGGATTAAGCATTTAAGACAAATATATTAAGACAAATAAATGTGCCGTATTTTCATTTACAAAGCTTTTGCGAAGATTTGGCACTAAGAACAGAGGTAACAGCACAGTGTCTAGATGCTAACATTAGACAAATGAGAACTTTGTTGACCCAGGAACACTTTTTAAAACATAATACTGGTGTAAAACTCCGGCCCATGCGAGGTTATAAGCTGTAAAAGTTTCTGTGGAGCAGCATATCCTGTTTTCTCCGACTCCATTAACCCCCGCTAATCCTTTGACCTAATGGACAGCACTCAACCATGCTGAGAGCCGCAGCAGACCCGTCCTGTGCTGTTGTGTTAATCACCGCTCATGGACTGAGCTCTGCCATCAACAAGCTCGCTCTTTCTGCCTCCTGATTCTCTGACTAAAGCTCAGTGGTCTGTGTCACAAAGCTGTGTTTTAATGACAATTAAGAGGAAGTGATCTATGAATAGACCTTTTCAGAGTTACGTAAATTCAAAGAAAAAAAATGGGGGAAGTTATTTATTGCTGTGTTTGTGTAATCCTAGTGTAATTTTCAACAGGTCTTTAGCGAATTAGTACACCTTGATAATTAGTTTTGACCAATCACAGCTAAGTTTTTTAAAAAGCTGGGTGACCACTCAAAAGGGCAGGTAGAAATAATAGTAAACATCTCAATGTCTTTTTAAAAATTACTCAAGTGCCTGAAATCCAAAATACCAACAATTCAGCTGTGAACAGATTGTCCCTTTTCAATCATGCACAATAAATGCAAACATACCTTTTACAATGATTACTTTAAAAAATAATCCTTGCATGTTGAATGCATGTTGAGTGTAGACAACCAGTGCAGCAGAAGTGCAGAAAATTAGCTAGAGTCTGGTTAAGGGCTGAACATTTTCTTTAGCTGATGCTCTAAAATAGTGACTTTGTACAGATGTCTTCTTTTGGTAAAGAGTCAAGCTCAGCAGACTTCAATGTGTCCACTCTGCTGAGTTACCTTTTAAAGTTAACAGTGATTCACAAGAATACAACATTTTTGGATTACTTTATGTCAGAAGTTAATCATGTCATTAATGGAGGTAGTCCTCCCCTGTTTGGGGCTTGCTGTTCACCATGTCTGGCTACCACAGTTGAAAAAGTCAGGCTCTGCCACTGCCATTACCTCTCAGTACATTACGCATTGCAGACCAGTCATTACAGGGGCGTGAATATCCCACCTTAAAATGGCAGAACGTAATCACCTTAAGCCTTTGTCAGTTTTGCTCACATCCTCTTACTCCCACCAACATGCTGGAGACATAGCCGAGTCCACCACTGTCACTCTCTGAACCCTTTCCCTGTGACTCTCCAGTCTTGACTTTTCTCATATTTTGTCCTCCTGCAGACACCTGACTTAAAAGATTAGGTTCATCGGAAAATACATTTTTTTTAACATATCTTGAATACTTATCAAGGACAAACTAATAGGGCCCTAAAAATCTAATTTAAGAATAAAAAAATCCAAACATTGGAGTCATAGTTGGCCAAGCAGTAAAGGTGAACACCAGTGGTGTACTCAGAGGGGGACAAGGAGGGTGATCCCCCCTTCTAATGCCCTTGTAGTAGAAATTACTTGAAAAAAAAAAAACCCCTAGAGGTTGCCCTCCTTTAGTATATAGCATGTAAATAAAGTTTCGTTGGTTGCTCCTGTAGAGAATAAAATGTAAAGCAGGCCCCCTCTGGTTAGTCTTGTTGAGTATAAAACTCAAACTTAGTACCCTTAGTGTGCCCTATCAGGAGATAAAAGGTTATAAAGTAACCTACTGTTTTTCTTAACCAGTGGTTTGTTTGTTATACAAGGTTTTATCTCAAGGAAAACACTTTCAAAATCTGTCATGACCTAGCACAGCAGACACCCTTTAGTTTGTCTTGGCCCATACCCCTTAAACATCCTGATTATACCACTGATGCCCCCTCCCCCCCTTGCAGAACTCCTCAGCTTGTCTCTCGTCTTTTGCCCTTTACTGAACATCTTTGGCATCAATAAAAGTAAAAGTGCCCAAATATTTTTTAAAAAGTTCAAAACATCATATGCTTAAAAAATGTATGAAAAAATACAAAAGATGGATGCCCACACACTATAGAGGATAAATGTCAGCCAGTAAGCTAGTATCGTATGTGCATAAAAAAAATCTTTTCTTTTGCAGCCTTTTTATTTGTATTTCCATTACCAGCTATTGATTGTGACATTCTAGTTTGATTGTTTTGATCATTTTTGTTTCTGATAATAACTTTGCTTATTGCAAATTGCTCATCATTGGCTATAATTACAGATATATAAAGTAGGCACAGTCTGCCTCATGCTCCTGTAAACAAACTGAAATGCAAATACAGAATAGGTAGACCGACAGAAAGCACAAAAAGACAGGTTTGTCTCATTTTTCAAGTATGCCTTAAACTCTCTTCCTTTGTACAAATCACCAGCAGGTGCTTTGTCCATGTGTTGTCTTTGTTCAGGGATGTAAAAGGCATCACTTACATTAGCGGGAGGAAAAATCAGCTTAACGTTTTACTGAGAGTGTTTGTAGAAAAGCCTGTGGGAGGGAACAACCATGCTGGATCAAGACCTGGAATAAGTCAGGGACTTAGGAGGTGTAAGGAGGCCACCTTAAACATTCACAAGTACCTACTACATTTACCATAGCTTCAAACTATTTATTCAAAAAAGATCAGTTCTGGTTCCCCCAGTGTCTTCTCTTTATTGCCATAAAGTCAGACTTACTTCACTGCTGTCTTATGTTTTGGCTTGGTGTTCCTTTGATTCTTTCCATGGAGTGTTTGTAACAGTCAGTATGCAAACTAAGCTCCGGGACATGAGCAGCATGTGTGTCAGTTAAAGGTTACCTATGACAGCTGACTTCTTTGTGTTCTCATTATTGTCTTTAATCACAGCTGCTAGAGAGCAGTAGGGAGTTTTATCAGGAGTTCCCCGTAAATGTCATTGACTACAGATCAGAGGAACAGCACAGAGTATTTTCAGAGTACAATTATGGTATCATAATAGTAATTTGGAGTATACAAGAGCTCAGCAAAGAAGGCAATATACAACATAGGAGGCACAACATTATTTGATGTCAAAGATACACACAGATATACTGTAAAAGAAACATGGTACAAATATATTTTTCTCCAAATAAAGCACTAATGTAAAAATAAAATTGAAAGAAAAATTCATCAAGCCAGAGTGATGAATTTACAACGTATCAAAAAGTCTCTGGCTCAAATTGATGTGCCCTTTATCGTATGATACAAACCAAACTACTTTTTGACAATATTGCACCATGATTCCTATTAATTTTAATCCTTATTTCTTCTGTTCAGAGTAAATATTGACATGAAAACAGATGGTCACTGCAGGTTTCCAGTGTTTTTCATACATTAGCAAAGATGAACTCAGTCTTTTCCCTCTGCAAAAGACGACTCAACAAACTCTTTCAGCCAAAACCATGGATTAGCCTTCTGATCAGGTCTTAAGGTCTTATCAAATCACTAACTGGATGGTCCCCAGGTTCATTGACTGCACCTCTTGAAGCTCATTGTTTATGCTGAACTGCTGTAAAGAAAACAAGAGTCAATGACAGCTTGCTTACAGTAAAACTGTTTTTCAGCAGCAGGAACTTTCTCCAGTAATTAGGAACCTTTTGATAAACTGTGTACATTTTCAACAGCTGAAATCAGATTCAAAATTAACTTCTGAGGTAAATGGATCTTCAGGAACTTTGGGGGCCTGAAGACAATCTTATTTACATTAAATAACAGGTTCTTAATTTACATATGAAACACTGCCAGCTTTGCACAAACACACACACACACACACATATCTCTTACACACTTTGGAGTGTAAATGCGCCCCATAATTACGACTTTGCACTTACAAACTGCAAGATTCAGACATACATGCACAGATTCTGCATGTACCACTGACGTTCTGCCAATTTAATTTGTGACAGCTTATTTGAAAACACAAAAGTTCAGCATGGGACTTCAATAGAGTTGTCCAAGTGTCATCATCTATCAAATAACTGTCCTGGACTAGCTCTCTATAAGACTTGGGTATGACTTGCATTATTTTCCTTTGAATTTAGGCTGTTGTGGAAACCCAGAGAACCAAAGGAACCATTTCGTTCCTTACAGGAAAGTTCCTGGGACCGAAAGTCTCTGGTACCATCAATAGATTTGCACCTTAAAATATGAAGTCTTTTAAAATGACTTTTAATGAGTTTTCATTGTCTTATTTTGCTCTTTGATGATGGATGGATATGGACTTAGACATAGGAGCATAGTTGAGCTGTACTTTTTTGTCGTATAGCTTTCGTACAATTCGAGACACACTCTGTAAAACTTAAAATAAGCACTGGAAGTGCTCAAAATTGTAAAAAAAAAAAAAAAAGAGCAAATAGACACAAATTATTGCCAGAGCAGCGTTTTCCAAAAGCGGGGGTTGTGGGGTTCCTTCCGAAAAGAAAGGAAAAATTAAAAAATGAATGTCTAAATAAACAAATAAATAACTTAGTCTATTTTATCAGTAATTATCACTTATCAAAAAATTATTGCTTACATTGTGCTTCTGCTTCCAGCCTTTTTTGAATTACTACCAGTTTTAATGCTTGCACCAATTTCCCCATCTTAAGGTACAGTGAGGGTCACAGGCACTTTTATTTTGGGGGTCCTAGGCTTAAAGGTTTGGGAGTACTGCACAGAGGCTTTAATATACTGTCCTCAAATCTCATAAAGTTTGGATTAAAAGCAAATTATCCTTAAGTACCGTTGTCTTTAAAATACTGTTGCTTTAAAAGTAACCTGTTTGATTGGAATCATAGAGTTAGTTGAAGCCTTTTATTCAAAAGTTCCTTCAGCTGACAGCGCTGCTTCACATGAACACAATATGTAATGACTGGGATATTGAGCAGAAATCTGTCTGCTCCAATAGGTTTAAAAAACGTACTTGTTTCAGCCCTGTTGAGGCTTACAGGCCCTGGGATAACATAAGCCTGAAAGACTCAGACCAGAGTGATCAGCTGATTTGGCCTCTAAAGCCGCGTTCAGACCAAACGCGACCTGACGCGACTTGGCGACGGCTCCCAATGCAAAGTCTATGGCCAGCCGCGACCTGACGCGACTTGGCGACCGCCGGCTTCCTGCGACGCGACCATGCGCGACCGGGCGCGACCGGTCGCCAAGGCGCGTCCCCGAGGTCGCGTCGCCGAGGTCGCAGGACGCCAAGTCGCGTCGCTCCCAAAGTTCAAATATTTGAACTTTGGGAGCGACTCCGTGCCGCGACAGCCAATCAGGGCTCTGCTGACGTCAACAAACCGGCGAAACAAGGAAGAGGAGAAGAAGAATCACAATGGAGGAGCAGTTAATCACATCCGTTAGCTACCACCCGGTGCTATACGACGTGGGTTGCGGGCTGTACCGGGACCGCAACGCCAAAGAAGAAGCATCTCAGTTTCGGAGCGCCTGTATTTCGTGTCCAGGCGGGAGATGCTGCTTCCCACCGGGGCGAGGAGGTCCTCGAACTGCGCCGTCGACACACGGAAGTAACGCTGGAAGCGGCCGTCGTCCAGGCGGAGTTCCTGGAGCAAGCGGTGAAATTCACCCAGCTCCGTCCTCCTCCGGATGGTTTCATGCACCCATAAACGCCGGCGGCGTCTACTGCGGATGTACAGATATGCGGCAGCACTGATGAACTGAAAACTGAGCTAGTGACATGGATGACGTCACCTGCGACCAGCCGCGACCTGCGACTGCAGCTTTGGACCCGGTGTTGACACACCAGGGCACCACGCGACGCGACCTGACCGACCAACGCGACGCGACCTGGTCGCGTTTGGTCTGAATGCGGCTTTACAGTCTACGATATCGCCATGACCAAAGTTAAGAAGCCGAAGAGGACAGTCAGTTCATACATCAAGAAGTGGCTTGGTCTTTCACAGTGCCTTAGCAACTTAGCAACAATACGGTGTAAGTGGCAACTTGGAGGGAAATGGATACTGTCTGAGACTGTACAGCAAGCAAAGTCTGCTATCAGAAATGGAGACATCAACCCAGAGGAAAACTGTTGGTTGCGAAAGCTGTGAGACACATGCAAAGAGAGTCTGACAGTCCAAACAGGGCAGATGGACTAACTGGGAAAACCTAGTGTATCGTTAGCTAACCTGGAAGGTTCTTTGGAAGATGGGGGGGAAGCTGACTTAGCTTCATCATCAGAGCCACCTACAATGTTCTTCCATCATGTGCTCTCTGCCAAACCCCTGCAACATTCAGGCTCATCCTCAATGACTGTGAAACCAATTTGTCCCATGGCCACTACACCTGCAGACACAACCAGGTCTTCCAACAACTGGCTATCACCCTGGAAGGAAGTAGAACTGCCAACAATGCTCTACCTCCTCAAACATCAAGGAGAGGTCTCCAACCCCACCCTTTTTGTAAAAAACTGGAAAATGCAGGTTCAACTGGACTAGCAAACTCATCTTTCTGCCTGAGATCATCACAATTAATCTCAGACCAGACCTAGTCTTGTGGTCTACCTTGCAGAAGTCAGTCTTTATGGTGGAACTAACTGTACCTTGGGAAGCTGCAGTTAGTAAAGTGGAAACACTTGAAGATCAAACATGAAAGCAAGAATTGCATGGCTGACATACCCAGGTGATTCCTGTTGAGGCTGGTTGGAGGGGTTTTATTGCCATGTCCACAACCAAACTGTTTATGTTCAGAAACTGGAATGGGATTGTGAGGACAGGCCTTCCAACAAAACATTGGATCTCTATCAGAAACTGCTAAGCAAAGCAGCAGCCGGCTATGGTTAAAGAGAAAGGACACCAAATGGGCTGCGATGTGAACACCAAGGGAGGTAAGAGCATAGGGGGGCATGGCTGGGACAACAAGTGGTGCCGTTGAGCCCTACAGACGTGTTGTGGGCCTACCAGCAAAAACACCACTGAAGGAAGGTGCCTACCTGAAGATCCTAGCGCAGGTCTTACCCTGGACCCCGCTCATCACCAAGTGTTGATTAATACAAAAAATTTTACTATCATTCCCATCAGTTTAACAAATGTAACCTAATTACAAAACCCAATTCCATTGAAGTTGGGAAATTGTGATAAACGTATATAAAAACAAAATACAATGATTTGCTAATCATTTTCAACCTATATTCAATTGAATACACTACAAAGACAAGATATTTAATGTTCAAACTCATAAACTTTTTTTTTTTTGCAAATAATAAATTCAGAATTTCATGGCTGCAACACGTGCCAAAGTAGTTGGGACAGGGGCTTGTTTACCACTGTGTTACGTCACCTTTCCTTTTAACAACACTCAATAAACGTTTGGGAACTGAGGAGACTAATTGTTGAAGCTTTGAAGGTGGAATTCTTTCCCATTCTTGCTTGATGTACAGCTTTAGTTGTTCAACAGTCCGGGGTCTCCGTTGTTGTATTTTACGCTTCATAATGCACCACACTTTTTCAATGGGAGACAGTTCTGGACTACAGGCAGGCCAGTCGAGTACCCGCACTCTTTTACTACGAAGCCAAGGTGTTGTAACACATGCAGAATGTGGCTTGGCATTGTCTTGCTGAAATAAGCAGGGGCATCCATGAAAAAGAAGATGCTTGGATGTCAGCATATGTTGCTCCAAAACCTGTACGTACCTTTCAGCATTAATGTTGCCTTCACAGATGTGTAAGTTACCCAAACCTTGGGCACTAATGCACCACCATACCTTCACTGATGCTGGCTTTTAAACTTTGTGTCAATAACAGTCCAGATGGTTCTTTTCCTCTTTGGCCCGGAGGACACAACGTCCACTATTTCCAAAAACAATTTGAAATGTGGACTCCTCAGACCACAGAACACTTTTCCACTTTGCATCAGTCCAACTTAGATGAGCTCGGGCCCAGAGAAGTTTCTGGATGTTGTTGATGAATGGCTTTTGCTTTGCATAGTAGAGTTTTAACCTGCACTTACAGATGTAGCGACGGACTGTTTTCACTGACAGTGGTTTTCTGAAGTGTTCCTGAGCCCATGTGGTGATATCTTTACACACTGATGTTGGTTTTTGATACAGTGCCACGTGAGGGATCGAAGGTCACAGGCATTTGATGTTGGTTTCTGGCCGTGCCACTTACATGCAGTGATTTCTCCAGATTCTCTGAACCTTTTGATGATATTATGGACTGTAGATGTTGAAATCCCTAAATTCCTTGCAATTGTACTTTGAGAAACGTTTTTCTTAAACTGTTTGACTATTTGCTCACGCAGTTGTTCACAAAGTGGTGAACCTCACCCCATCCTTGCTTGTGAATGACTGAGAAGTTTTGGGGAAGCTGCTTTTATTCCCAATTATGGCACCCACCTGTTCCCAATTGGCTTGCTCACTTGTGGGATGTTCCTAATAGGTGTTTGATGAGCATTCCTCAAATTTCTCAAGATTTTTTGCCACCTTTCCCAACTTTTTTTTGTCACATGTTGATGCCATCAAATTCTAAAGTTAATTATTATTTGCAATAAAGTTTATGAGTTTGAACATCAGAAATGTCATCTTTGTAGTATATTCAATTGAATATGGGTTGAAAAGGATTTGCAAATCATTGTATTCCATTTTTATTTATGATTTACACATCTTCCCAACTTCATTGGAATTGGGTTTTGTATTAAAGAGCATCTCTAACACAGGCGCCTCTCAGACTTAATAAGGAATGAGATCTCAGTTTGAGTTTGAAGCGAGTAACTTCTAATGACTTATCTAAACTGTAAATATGGAGTCAGTGCCAGCAGCTAAACTATGTAGCAGCTAGCTTGACTGGTTAAAGATGGTAAAAAAAGGAAAAATGGCTGCTGATGATTATTATCTTAGAATTATTCATATTTAACAAAAGAGTGTTAGAGAAAAACCTTGTGTATGTGATAGGGAGAAGCACAATATAGTGTTACTGTACTGTCTGGCTTCATCAGTTAACAGTTGCATGTAGTCATCACAGAGTGGGGCACTGTAAAATACTTAATGTATTCATTGAACACATAGTTTCTGCCATTGCTGATGCAGCTACTCTGATGATTACATAAAACTATAAATAAGTTATGCTTGCTTGTTAACATATCAATTCTACATACCTCATTATTCAATGAACAACAAAATGTATCCTACAGGTTAGTCAAAGAGAGGGAAAAAACTACTGATGATTCTTATGTTTTTGATCCACCTCAGAAGATTACTGTAGTTTTCTGTGCAGCCACTCAGTTTTTTTCCCTCCCTTTATGCATGCTGCTTCTGCACTAAGCATGCAGGTGCAGCTAAATGGACTAACAAAAGCAGACAGTTTTTTTTTTTTGGAGTGTCTGATTCACCATAAAGACCTGTTGATGGATCCAAATTGAAGAAATGCACTTTTTGTACATACACTCTTTTATATGTTTTAATGTGTGACAATTTTCATCAAAATAAATAGATAAATAGTGAAAATAATCAGAAGAAAACACTGTATTCACAAATGACTCTAACGCTGCCTCCTGCCTCAAAGTCCTGGTCCCAGACCACACCGGTGTTACAGTTAGTTAAAAAATCAAGATTATGAGGTACATTAAGACACTGGAAGGAATTGCTGCTCATCACCAGTGTGGACTGAAATCAAACAAAAATAATTAAAGGTGATTCAAAATACAGTTAATCCTGATTGGAAAAAAAATACTAATAATAGTTTGACAGCCTTAAAAAAAGAGCCACTCAGTGCTTTTCAAACATCTTACACTGTGCAAACTAAAATAAAATTTAAAAAACTCAAATATCTTCTCCAGCTTGATCAAAGGGCAGCAGAAACAAATTTAAGCAAACTGTCACCTTCAATCTTTTATTACACTGGATTAAAGTTCATTTTTTTCATGCTACTTTTAGAGCAATGAATGGCTTAGCCATTACATAATGTGTCTTTTATCTTCCTGGGTACAAAGTGTAGCATTCATCCACAGACAAAAAAAATAAAGCTCTCTGCACCGTTCAAGCATGAACTTAATCATTAGGAGGTTAATAGTCAAAGATTTCATCTTTTTCCCTCATTTGGCTCATAAAGTGTGAAATAAATGAGAGCCTACTCAAGAATATGAAGCAGTCAACAGCTCATGTAACGCAGTTACACAAAGACTTTGTTTGAGACAATGCTGAGTGTCTGATAATCCACAGACTGGTGGACTGGACTCAATCTAGATTGCTGTGAAGTCTTCTAACACCACAGTTGCTGGATTAGTGCAATGCTGTCAGATTGGACACCGCACGGCAGACGATTGAGAGAGTGACACACACACACGCATTGAACACACACATGGACTTAGTGCAGCTACATCATGTGTGTGGTTTGAGCCACAGTGCTGAATAAAAGACAGAGCTTTTGCAGGATTTATTCATTATTAAAACTAAATAAATGAAAAGAGTCTTTTCTCTTTTTACGCATCAGAGACAAACTGACCGGGAGGCTCAGAGACAGAAAACCAGCCACAGAAAAACTAAATCCACAGCTGAAAGGTCAAACCCAGTGAGTGAACCTGGAATCATCTGAGGCCATCCCTCTAACTGTGCCAACATCTACACAGAACCCGGTCCAGCCTGCAACATCTGCGTATTGTGATTCCCCACGACTGATTACATCAGATGCAAACTGCAGCTTTTAACAGTGACACCAAGTTAATCTCGGTTTAATGAAGCAAAGTGGGTGAAAGGTCAAGTGTTGTGTCACAGCAACACCACATCCAACACAGAGCAACACAGTCACACAAACATCTAAACTAGTTACAACAAATGACAGTTTGTGAAGAGGCAGACAGAAATCCTGACCCTGCTGGAGATATTTGACCAGAACTTTCTGCAAATCTGTAAAACACATGCTTCTGCTGAAAACAGCTCAGAGAGAATGAGGCAAAGGTTCACATATCTCTGTCGTTAGTGCTTCATTTGGTGTTGGGTGGTAATTCAGTAATTCAGGACCAAAAGAATAAAAACAGTTTGATTTACAGTATAAATCATGAGAGCTCGGCAATGGTGGGCACCATGTGAAGTTAGGGTAATGCTTACCCTAACTTCTCTAGAAATGGCAAAAGCTGGGTTTGTGACCAAGCTGCCTGCAAAGGTTTTAATTATTTTTATTATTATTATTGTTTTTTTTTTTTTTTTACAGTCAGTCCACATCAGTTCTGAGTATCCATTATTGGTCTCATGGACAACTAATAATCTATATAGATATCCGCCCAGTAGTGGTTGACCACTTCTTATAGTGTCAAAGAGAAGCTCCAACAAATTTACCACTTGTACATTTGGTATGAACAAAAAATTAGGTCCAAACAGCTTTTGTACCAGGCAGTAAACATGTTGAATTCTGCCTGAAACATGGAAGTATCTTATGGGTTTAAATGGGATTCCTTTGCACAAGTCAAACAAAAGTTTTTCACCCTTCCAAAATTACTTCATTTTCAACACTAGGGGTTGCTTCTAGATCAGGATGAACATTTTTTGAAGCTAGCCACAGTAGGAATTTGTCCAGTGTTTGGTCATTAAACCCCTCATAATTAGTCTTGTTTGTTTTATGTCAGCTGACAATGCTAGAAGGAGGCTGCTATCTTTGTATTGGTACCAATCAGAGGCTGTACCTGCAACCAGCTGCCCTGTAAAGGTCCAGTGAGACAGATACCAGTCTGCTCTCAGAAATAAAGATCGATCTGTTTTAAATGGATTCATCATATTCAGCTTATTCAGCATTTACAGAGCTGCGCTCTCTCTGTGTACCAGCTAGAATTTGAATTGAAACTGCTTTTAGAATAAAACAAGACTGTTCTTTATAAACTCTTGTTTTAAAGGTTTGAAATGTGTATTTTCATGGCAGATTATGATGTCTCACAGCCAGGTCTTGGCCTGCAGGTGGGTGTTGGGAAGGGATGATAGTGTTGAAAGTCTGAGTCTAGCACAGGTGCAAGGCGGTGGTGTCAATGACAAACCAGAGGGAGAGGCTAGAAATCTGTTGGCTTAAATAGTCTACCAACTTTAGAGATGAAGGGTTCATTGTCAAGTAATTGATGTAAAATCATCACAACAAAAGTTGTCTGCCTGAACTAGCTCACGTGTCGCTCTTTTTCTGGTCTAGGGTTCAGTTCCCCCAAAACCAAATAGAAAGTACACACAGTCATCCTTAAAAGTTAGTTAATTTAGAAACAGTGACTCTGACTTGAGCACCTCTTGGCTCCATGGTCACACAGTTTTAAGTTAATGAAAACTAAAGAGACTTCTCACTGCTTTATTATTAGAGGTGTCAAACATGAGATGAAGGGCAATGAGTATTCAGCCCCTTGTGCTATTGGGGCCAACAAAGTTAAATAAATAATGCAGGTAGAACCCCGTGGAGAATGTCTTTATAAAGGGCCTATATTTTTTGCAGTGCCTCTGTTTGTAATATTTGGAAATACAACTGAACTTAGTTTATCAGCTTAACGTGAATCCATGGTACAATTTATTTTTCCAAGGCAAAGCTCAGGGCAGAAGAAATACTGTATATGACCTGAAAACAACCAGGACTAAAGAGAAAACTCTTACATAATGTTATTAATCTAACATGCAAACGTCAAACTCAACTTTGTTTGGGTGAAAGTCAGAACAAGAGCTCACACAAACATGAAGGTAATACAGCAAACATGAATCTCTCTGCACTGGCACAATATTGATATTGACTCATGTTACCTCCAAACAGGTAAAAATGCTGCTTCTTTACAAGGATTTGTGCACAAAAGACACCAGGCTTAGTAAAGTGTGTCACAACAGTACAGTGGCAGGAACAGGTCACTTTTCTCAGCCTGTTTTGGTGTCCTCAAAAGCAAGGCCAGTGAAGTTTGCAGCTCCAGTGATCACAGTACTCTATGAGCTTGAACAGCTGTGTGATATGATAGAGTATATCAGCCCTGTGAGAGAATCCTGATTTTATTTTCTATGATAACTTAGTGCAAGTGTGCTTTCTGTGAATCACTGTTTCTCCCTAAGGTGTTGGAAATAGAGTTGTCAAAATATCTAATTTTCATTGTGTTCATACTGTGGTTAAAAATAATAACATAGGAAAGTTATTTAAAATACAGTTAAACTAAGGAAAGGCAAGACAAGAGTAGAACAACATGTTACATCGTAAAATTTACTAATCCATACCAATCATACTTCCTAGTAGACTCACTTCCTTTCTAATAATGTTGAATTTTGTGTTTTTTCTGTGCTGCCTTGGTCCCTACGACTGACCTAGTTGTAACTAATGATGATTTTGTATTTTGGCTTAAAAAAGATGGCTTTAAAATAAACCTGTGCAGCCTTACCGATATAATACTGACAGCATCATATGATATAACAGTTTCACCACACCCCCCACTGGCCATAGTCTAACTCCATCTAATAGCTCTTGCTGTGATGCTACAATGGTCTACTGTCTAGATGTAAACTTGCACAGATGACAGATGGCATCTTGAAGCATAGTGTGGTTTGTCAGTATATTAAATTAAGAAAATAGAAATCAGTTATATGTAGGCAGTGTTGGGTCAAACATGCATGTAGCACAGGCTTGTGAACGTTAACCTACAAAGAGGACTGAAGGCCGGTGGTGCTGGCTCTGCTAACTTTTCACCCACACATTCTCTCATACCATCTTCAGGTGGGTTGGTTGATTGGTCAATTTTAAATTTCTGTTCAAGTGGCCATGAAATTTTTTGCCTCAGAATATCCCTGAAATTGTTGCAGTGATGCTTTGCAAGATGTGTTGCAGACAGTGTTGAGAGTATCGCAAATGATAGGGTCTAGACACTAGTGGGAATATATGATGGCGCAATTTCTAAATCACCCCCATCTGTGTTTTCTATGTAATCCTTGAAAATCTTTTTTCAGCAAATATAGTTATATATTAGAACAAACCAAACTCTTACATTTGGGTGACCTTGTGAAAAGCCTTTTTAGCCAAATAGCTTGGGCCAACTAGTGCAGTTAGGTCAGTTAGATCAAACAAGAAGAGTGGCTGACAGGAAATGGCCATCTTGAACTCTCAAACTGCATGCTGGGTAACTGCAGTGACTTTAAAACTAAAGCTTTTTATTTTCCTGTCTTCTCCCCTTACAGATGCGTATCCGGTCTCAGAGGTGGTCTACACCTGGACTCAGGGAGCAGCCAAGTCAGTGGTGGTGGCTGAGGAAGGCTCTCGACTAAACCAGTACCATCTGATTGGTCAGACTGCAGGAACAGAGGACATCTACACCAGCAGAGGTAAACTGAAACAGGGGACATCTGGCCTCAGATTACAGATGACCTCCTTCATTAAACACCTACGCGAAAGCAAGGACACATGGAGCGCCATACTTTCATCTTGTATCACTGTGTTACAACGTGAGTTGAACACAAACACTCTGAAAAATAGATGGAGCTTTATTGTATGTCAGTTGGAGCCAAAAGAGAGAACCAGAGGTCTAATCATGTAAAAAAAATAAATTAATAAAAACAAAAAAAAACAAAAAATTTTACTTCTCACTGGATCATTGAATGTTTTGGGAATAAAAACTTGGTTACATTTGTACATTTCAAGTTTCCTTCAAACCAGTTTGGTGTTTTTTTTTTATTTTTTTTATAAAAAAAATGTTTTTCTCAATTTTGATTGTAAAGCTTTGTTGATTTAGGTGTGGCAACCTTGGGGTTGACAAATCACTACCAGAACAACATGAAAAGCATGTTGTTTTACTAAGGACACCAAAAAGCCTTTTTCAGCAACACCTCAGTGAATACCACATCGGGCTGAAGAGTTACATTTAAAAGGTTCACTGCAGCAGCACAACTTTATTTGGCAGATATGCTTTATTCAGAAATTTGAGTATGGAAGAGCAGAGCTGGGAAAGTCTTACAGCTTTGTGAGGAGCTTTAAACCGATTTGAAAATAGTCTTATAATTATACTGATGCATCTTCATTACTCAACCAGTGTTAGAAATGATCATTGTATAGTTATTTCTTTGGAAATAACTCTGAAATTGGAAGTGTGCTGGTAAATATTGGCTGTTGGAATTAGAGTTAGAATTTGCAATTAAAAAAAAAAGTATTTTTTCTTTTGAATTATTGTTTAAGATTGAAACTTTACAGCCAGGACTTTCCAAAAGAAATTCAATGTTTAACAGGATTTTTTGTTAATGCTGGTATGTGAATGCTGCACTGCTATTTAAGGACTAAAGAGTTCAATTGAGAGCAGATTTAAGTTAATCAGGACACTGGAGCACATCATGACACCAGGTCGGTGATGGGTGATGTTAAACTGGTACCTCTGGTCTCCTTTTGTGAGCAAACTAACGGTCCTAAATCCAAGCTTACAAAGCTCATTTGTTGTTATGTTACAGTTGATAATACAAGGATTTACAAATTCATACCTTATCCCTCTGCATCCTGTAAAAAGTTGTTTGTTTAAAAGTTGACAGTTTAATTATTGTCACATCAAATGCTTGTGTTGGCAAGAGCCACAGTGGATAATGGTGCTCATGGGAAATGCAGTTTCTCACCAAAAACACTTCTGATTTTGTTCAAAGGTATCAAAGGAGCATCTCTTTAAACTCAGTCATTTAGTCGTTCTTGCTTCTTTGATTGGTTGACAGGCTAAAAGAGAATTAACAGTCTTCATTTATCGTATTCAGCTAACAACAGAAATGGCAGTTTTTTGCTTAAACTAGTACATAAATGATCTCAGATTAGCTTTGTGTGTGGAGAATTGGATTTAGACCACCCCTGGAAATATACTGATTTTCTCTGTGAGATAGAAAAGCCCCTAAATCTCAGTGAAAGAGTTTATTGCTTGGAAGATGCCGGTCTCACAAGGCAAGTGGATTTTACAGTGAATATGTACTTTGTACAGAACTATTTTTAGAGGTCATATTGTAGGCACAACAATATTTAGTTATAGCATTTTGGACTCTCCCATCCAAAACTGTGATTACATCCTAGGTTGTCATCTGAACTGACTTAATCTTTTGTGTCTTATCACCACCTTGCTGCAAATAGAGCAAAGCTGAAAGCACTTACAAGAGAACCAGGGAGCAGAATGTCAAATAATATTGATGGGTCTAGTAGTAGGAACTGGTTCTGATCTGAAACTGATTCTCAGCTTCCGTCCCTCATCATGTGTGATCCACTAGAGCCACTTCTGGCTTCAACCAAGACAAAATGGTGACTGAAAAAATTCCCAAATCACTCCTTTTGAGTGGCAGGCACCAAACCACTGTCCTTATATGAGTTCCACCTCCCAAACAAAGTCTGTCATCACACAGTTACCACATCAGGAACATTAAGCCTCTGCTTGAACCCTTTTATTCAGCTCTGTTATTAAAATGTGTGCAAAGCAAGGATGCTGTGAGAAGAACTTTTTTTATTTCAAATCAAGCTGGATAGAGACAATGAATGAATCGCAAGGATTTGAGAATGCCTCCCACTCACAGCCAGCTGTCTCTGGGGCAGCAAGCGAGGGGGGGGGGGGGGGGACAAAAAAAATCACTTATCTGGGGTCTGAGCCATTGGGTCTGTAGGGTTAATCCGCGTGCAGGCCCATCAGTTGTGCTTTTACTAAGTGACGTCACAGTGCAGGGATTGGCTGCTGTGCTGGAGGTGGGGGGAGCTACATCTGCTTAATTCTGTTATGTAAAGAACTATGATAATACATTTCTGCTGCTTGTTGCTGGAGAGTTTATGGCAGAGAGGGAGATCCTAAAGCTGTATTTATACAGAGCTTCTTACTCTTTCCTGCCAGGATGGGAGTAAATTCACTCTGGATTCTGTAGGAGAATGAAACATATACTGTTATATATGTCATGGAGCTTTTTAAGCAGCAAGAGGAAATCCTGTAACACAGCCGGAAACACCCAGTGTGAAAAAGTGGAGATTAGCGCACATGCTGCTATGTATTTCTGTGTGATTTCCTCTGAGCCCACCCTGCACTGCTCAGACACACTGAGCTAACACGGCCTTAATTAGGGGTGCTAATCTGAGGTACAAACCCTCTTTAACAAGCCAAGAATAGCTCAGCCAAGAGCTCATACTGGGCTGAGGTGACCTTTGACCTCACAGGTTAAGCCTCTGCAGATGAATATAGACCAAAGCACTGAACTGGTGATATGCAAACCTTGTGAATTCATTACATTACACACACAGCAGAGCTCTCAGAGTGCTGAGAAGCTCAACAGATGGTTCTGATCTGTACTCACCAGTTCACCAACATAGCCGCGTTGTTCTCTGCTATGAATGGCAGTTCTCCACAGACGCTCCAAAAACAAAACAGTAAAATCCACCACAACCGCATTTTCACGCCTCGTAGATTACCATCTACTTCCAAGCCCAGCAGGCGGTCAGATCAGTGCAGAGTTGGCCCAGTCGTGCCACCACAGAGCAGGACTTCCTGCACGTAGTCCTCGGAGTGAAGGCGACACAGGTGCTCCTTTCATGAATGACATGATGCTGGTCGCTGCATAGCATGGAGCGCCCAAACTTTCCACCGTCCCTCTCAGCCGTCCTCTGTCTCACTCATCGGTGCACCTGCGTGTAATCACTGCTGACCCCAGGCTGTTGCAGTGTGGAGCTCAGGCAGGCAGCGATGTACGTCCCCCAGTCAAGACTAGCCAGGCCTGACAGAGCGGCAGGACTGTCTGTTACACATACACACACTCACACATTCACACACATGGACAAGAGAAAGAGTGAGGGCGAGAGAGGCAGTGGGAGAGAGAAAGAGAGAGAGAGAGGGAGAGATACGGGATGCAGATTGTGACAAGGGATTAGTGAGACAGAAAAATCCGATTTTGCCAGGAGAAAGCAGCAGTCATCTGTGGATTTCCTATAGTTTATCAGACTCCATGGCTCGACAGGATTTTTGAGAAAAAAAATCCTTCAAATGCAATCTTCAGTTGATTAACAGGATATGATGAGTTCTCCACCCAACTGTTTTTTTTAATAATTCAGCGCACATTTCTGACCTGGAGGTTGTCCAGCGAAGTTCACTTGTGTCGCCTTTAATCACAGCCTCCAAGGACAGCACAACACCATCAGATTACTGAAACAAATTGAAAACAAAACATCCCAAACAGTTTGATTTTTGGCAGACAGGAAAAACAACATGATGTGAAAAACACTCTTACAAAAGTCCCAAAGAGACAAATTCCCCTGAAAACAGATCTAAGACGAAAAGTGACTATTAAAGAGGGCTTTGAAAACATGCTGTATAACAGGTGGAGAGTGTACTGCAAAACTGTTTGGTAAGAAAAATAAAATGTCTTTGTAGCAATACTACCTTCAAGCTCATGTGAGAAGGTTTTGGTTGTCAAACAAATTGATCAGAGATGGACTGATTAACTGGTCAGCTGATTAATGGAGCGGCAACAAAACCTGTAATGCAAAACGAAATCACACACTTGGATAACAATAATACCCTGTTTGTGTGATTGGCATTGCTGTTGCAATCTTTTGATGTGAAAGGGAAACAGTGGGGCATACCAGGCAAAGCCAGTTTGAGACCAGCTCTGAAATAAAACTGAAGAGGTAAAAATGATGACAGTGACAGAATGTGGCTTCATCTTGCCTCTAGCTTAGCTGTTGTTTCCAGTTGCTTCTGTACAGTGTCGATATAGATGCAAAATGAGAGCGAGTACCATCATCTACTTGTACATTTTTGATTAAAATGTCTGAAATCCTTGTTGGGTGAAAAAGTAAGATTCAGGAGGTCCTGCTGCAGATTGGCAGTGGTCATATTTAGGTAAAAATTGATTCTGCTGGAAACTGTGCCCTTAACACCAGCTGCAGTCAAAAGATTGAAAAAATAAATAAATAAAAAATAAATCAGCCACAGCAATGTCTATTGTCGTGATGGCTTGGTTGTAGTTAATCATTGTATAGTAACATACAGAAAGGCTTCTGGGACACAGGGGTGATATGAAGTCTTTGGCTGTAAACTGAAGGATGTATATTTCTTTAAAAACAAAACCCTTTCAATATGACTGTATAACTGCAAATGGACATTTTTAAAAATTTTGGTAGTTCTGATAGCAGGTATTCGCCATTCTTTTCACCAGAAGCATGACATCTGATATTACAGTTTTTATACTGTCATCAGGGATATGTGCATTTTGTTGACTGAACAATAAAACACCATCACCCTCATTAGTCTGCACCTGTATTATTTATGATTTGTTGTATTGCAGACCTGAATTGTGCTGAGTTTTGACTGTAAAATGAGTGTTTTCCTACCATTAGACAAGTCAGCTAATTGGACGACATTTTCTTTTGTACGACTAGAAAATTAGTCACATGAGAGTAACTTTCTTATTTTTACCGGAAACTTTAAAAAGGTAAAAACCTTTAGTGTGTTGGTCCATCTCTTAGAAATATCTGATTGCTCCACATACCAGTGTAATGTCTAGCAACAGATGCAGACTGTAGATTTACAAACATTTATCAAACAGGACCAAATACTGAGTAGAAGCAATTTAAAGCCTGAATTACTCAGAAATGTGGTCCAGTGTTTGCTGCAGCAGGACCGTGTTTGTGGAATTGAATCAAAATAAATACAGCCTGTGTTCATATTAGTGAGGGTGAATGATTAATATTGTTTCGGTCTATTAATAGCTCATAGTCATTCATTCTGAGTGCCCCTAGGTCAGATTTGTTATGGCGGGTTTGAATTGTTCAGCGTAGGGATTATAATTTCAGAATAAGGCATTATCTAATGATTGTTTCTATTACTGATGGGTCTGTCGATGATTTGGTTGAACTGTGTAGTAGTTGATTGTGTCAGAGAGAGTTGAAAAATGTCAGTAAGTGATCAACAAAGTCTAACACTACATCTTTGAGTTTTGTTTTTTCTCTGTAATTGTTTAGACTTGGGTTTGGACCCATTCTCTTTGGAAACGTTATTTCTAGTTGATTTATTGATAGATTAAAGTTTTATTTTGCCATGATAGAAGAAGAAAGAATGAAGTAAAAAGACATCAAAGCTGGGATCAGAAATCTTTAAATCATATTGGTTGATGAACTCTTAATCTGGTTGGTTTTGGTCACTAATTTTACAATTCTAGAAGCTTAACTCGTCAACCAAACGTTTTTATTTTTGCTTCCAACAGGTCAGTACACAGTGATGATGGCTCACTTTTACCTGAAGAGGAAGATTGGCTACTTCGTCATCCAGACCTACATGCCCTGCTTCATGACCGTCATCCTGTCACAGGTTTCTTTTTGGCTCAACCGAGAATCAGTGCCTGCCCGGACTGTCTTTGGTGAGTCCAGAGAGCTGCTGTAAAATCACCCACAAGATTATGCTACAGTCTGTGGTAAACCTGCAGTTGTTTTCTTGCTCAATTGTAAGAGCTGTGCTCAGAACATGAATGTGTGTGAAACTTGGGTTGGGAGTTCAGGGTTTTTCCTGGCTCAAATTGAGGCAGAGGTGGCACCATCCTGACCATGCGCCACGACGTGCATGTATTTGTAAATACAACCGATTCACTTTCTTTTACAGGCAACATACTTTAAGTTAAGAGTTCAAAAAAAGAGTGTGACCATTATTATGTTAAAGCATTAATTTATTAAAACTATATACATACACAAATCAGCTGGCAACTTTAAATTGAAAGTACACTTCATCCACACATCTCACAACCAGACAGAACATTTCAGCCTCCTCTTTTTCATTCTGTAGAACCTCCTCATGCACTCCTTGTAGTCCAAGGCCTCCTGGTCTGGTCCATCAACGGCCACCTTACAACAGACATCCAAGTGCCTCTCCTTCAGTCTGTTCCACAGAGGTGTCTTCACCTTAACCAAAACAATTCATCATGCATTAAGTATTTTCGTTTTTATTCTGATACAGACATGAAGAGTGATAGTGTTCTCAATCATATATATGTATACGCTGCAGTGTCCGCCCTAAAAAAAAAAACGACAACCAATTATTTCTTAAACTATCTAAACTATGTTATTTATTTTTTGTAACTTTATTAGTTGAGTTTTTTAGGTACTACCATCTTTAATATACTTCTCCTTCTCTTCTGCTGCTTTGTGAACGGCTGTCACTTCATGTCTTTTTTTAATGTGTCCAGCCTGTAGTTGGTTGATGGCTGTCTCACTAAGGAGGCAGCAATTGCCTGCTGTGTTGGGGCACAGTGCTTTTGGCATAAATAGCAGTGCATGCCTTCCTCAGTATGCCTGAGCCAGGTAAACTGATTGAGCCATTGCTTGTCAAAGCCACTGGCTCTGTGTTTTTGAGAAGATCTACAAAGAGAAATAAAAACCACGTACACGTTGGCTTTGCGTTGTTATGCTCCTAATTGGAAACTAATTAATTAATTACCCTCGCCTCGCCGACTCGTCCTGTCCTGCATTCTGACCCTCGCGATCACCAGTCCCTTGTGAAGTACTTTCAGACCTGACACAAATTTCCACGTTGTCACCAACATGAATTATAGCATTTTAACTGCCTGTTACGTTTTTCTCTGCTGTGTTTCACCTGGACTCTTGACTTTCCTCCTCGCGAGGTCGCTTTTTAAAGTACTGGCTGATTTTGCCTGTCATATCTAAAACGCTAAAAACGGAGTAAACTTTTTTTTTTAAATAATAAACACGACATGCTTGGATGCAAAAAAGAGAAGCAGTATTTACCTGTTTGTACCATCCGCCAGGGAAAATCAGGACGCCGACAGCACCAACTAGCGGGAAAAACACTTGAAAAAACATGATTCGATCCGTTTCTTCTTCGGTAGATGCTTCAGGTCTTTCCGGTGCACTGCTGTTGATATAGCGCCTCTATAGTGGCGCAACCCTGCAACTGCAGTTAAAATACGTTGCTGCTGCATCGGGACATCAATCGCTCAATCAACACAGCTGGAGCTTTACGCTGTGTTGAGCGAAATCAATCGCTCTGGCTGGGGGCGGCACAAAATTAGGTGGAGGCGGCCGCCACGCAATTTTGAACGCAGGAAAAACCCTGGAGTTGAATGAAAACATACTCAGGTGTTGCTTTATCCATAATACTCTGTAATGTGTCCTCCTTTTTCTAAGACTTAATCTGATGGAATAAGAACTGAATCCTTAGTGTGGTTTGTAAAAGTGACCCACTTTTCTCTTCCACCAGGTGTGACCACTGTGCTCACTATGACCACTCTCAGCATCAGCGCTCGAAACTCGCTGCCCAAAGTTGCTTACGCCACAGCCATGGACTGGTTCATTGCAGTGTGCTACGCCTTCGTCTTCTCAGCTCTTATTGAGTTTGCCACAGTGAACTACTTCACCAAGAGGAGCTGGGCCTGGGATGGAAAAAAGGCAATGGAGGCCCAGCAGCCTAAGGTATTTATTGTGTGTATCTTTATTGTTGTAAAACATATATTGTGGGGACCTATTAAGGATGGCTGACTCATGATGGGGACATTGTTGTTGTGAAAGCTTGGCCCCTAAGGTTAAGGGTTTATTTTGGGGTGAGGACTTGTTTTGTGCCAGACCATTTGGAGCTTCCTCTTCTGGCTGCCTTCACAAAGCCTGCCTTCTTTATGTTAACAGATGGGACATGACTCTAATTGTTGAACACAAATTGGTAGCAAGCTAACTGAAGAAGAAAGCACAACAATCACTTCCATTTGAATAAGCATTAAAGATTACCAAGGAGTATATCTGCTTAAAATTCTAATTCTTAGTTTAAAATCAGGTGCCATTTCTGCTCTCTTTTTCACAGGAGTAGAGAGTGTGTCACAGTGTGATCAAGTAGAGGAAAATCCATGATACACATGATTATAGAGTAAGAGATGAATTAGACAAGATGTAGAAGTTCATAATTCGTGGATCAATAACTTCTAAGTCCAGTCTGGCTGTGTTGTGGCCCAGAGCCAGTTGATTATCACCCAAGGACATCGATGTAGAGTCGAAGCATTCACTGACCGTTTCTTATTTTTCTGTTTGTGTATTTGTGTGTGTGTGCCTGTGTTATAATTGCCTGTTTTTATGTCCGATGAATGAGCCCCACTTACTTTTTTTGCCTAGAATTTTGAGCACTCTAAATCAATGCCTTTCTTTGTCCCTGCAGAAAAAAGACCCTTTGGCTCTGTCTAAAAAGCCAAACAACACCTGTTCAGCTGGAGTAAATTACACAGCCAACCTCACCAAGGACGCGTCCATCTCAACCATTTCAAACAGCACGTCAGTCCAGCTCAAACCCTCCGAAAGCAAGGCCCCGGATCCTAAAAAGACTTACAACAGTGTGAGCAAGATCGACAAGATGGCCAGGATAGTGTTCCCGGTGCTGTTTGGGACCTTTAACCTGGTCTACTGGGCCACATATCTCAACAGGGAACCAGTGATCAAAGGAGCTGTGTAATCTCTGAGACCATTCACCATCCTGATAACCACTACGGGATTTGATAACTGGAACGCAATCAAATTCAAAGCCAAGCACTTAGTTCTTGTACCATAGATGTGTTTTTTTATGTCATTGGATTAGAAATATTCTGGTACCAATTTTCCATGATGATTCTAATACCTGAATGTGCAAACTGGACTTGATTGAGCACCAATCTGATACAAGAGGAAACGACACACTAATCAGCCAAAACATTGTGACCACTCAAGAAATCCCATGCAAGCCAGTATACCCACTCCACCATGAATTCTACTTTGTAAAGCTTTCACACCTTCAGGTTTGTTGGCAGGGTCAGAGGAGTAATAATTGTGCATCAATTGAAGTCTCACCCCTAAAAGGACAAACCAAGAATCGCAGGTATGAATGAGTTAATGGGTTACTGTGAGCAGCCACTTGAAAAGATTCATTCAGGGCTCTTAATTATTACTATGCTGTGTAAAATGCCTGATTCTGATTGGTAATAACTGATTAATTCTCAACAAGTTCTCTACAAGAAAAAAACGTGCCAAAAACAAGCTGCTCACACACACCAAATCAAATCATTCTGTGTCCAGGTGTCAAGCACATCTAAGGTCTGCCCGTAAACAAAAATGTCAGTTCAACCATCTCTGATAGGGAAAAGAGGAGCAACATCCTGTCCTGCAATCTGTGCAACAGCGGCAGTTCTGATGAAAACCTCTCTGAGTTGTTGATGGCTGCGAAGTGACTGAAACCATAAGCTGTGCAATAATGTTGAAAGTATTGACGATGATGTTAGCCTTTTTTAAAATCAATGGTGTGTTGACTGCTAGGCTGTGTGAGGAGAGAAAAGCCAATACGGATATTCTTGCAGAAGTCCTGCTCATGTTGTCTAACCAATGGAAATGTTAAGTTTAGGGTTTAGGGTGAGCTGTAATAAATTTATGTCAGGGTGCTGTTGAGATTCTTATTTGCATAATCACCTCTTCCCTATATGTGACCTCTTTTGTATGAGGTTGGTGCTCAGGCTGGTGTACTTGTAAATACATAGATGAGTATTCAGATGGTGTCAAAGGCATTTTCAGACACTGGTACCAGTTCTGAATGAACTCCACATCGAGTATCATTGCATGTCCATTGCTTCAGGAAACTGTTGCCATGTTTGCCTTGAGTTTGTACAGTTTGTATGATATGACTTCTACTTAAGAACTGTTTCATTTTAAAACCACAATCACAACTTACTTTTGTGTCATCCTCAGATATATAAACTTTTTGGCATTTGGCATTTATAGTTTCTCTTTAAGTCTTCAGACGATGATGGTACAGCAAGGCCAAATGCTATGCAAAATTACATGTTTATTGTGTTAACCTGAAAGCAGCTTTTACCTTTTTAACTTATACTTTGTACAAATGAGCTGACGGTCCAGGGATGTGAGTCTGGGCCCAGGCACATGGGACTTTGCTTCCTTGTTAAAAGCAGATGAATAGCCATGCTAAATGTGTTGCCTTCAGAGTGTGAGAGCTTGTTATGAATGCACTGATATCGCCTGCAGTTGTTTTCTCAGAATTTTGGAAGCTAGTTTCACAACTTTAATTTAACCAGTATGTCTCTTTCTTCATTTCTTTGCAACTTAATCTGAATGTTAACAACCAGTTTTACATGAATGTTTTTCTTAATATGTAGATGAGAAACAGGAATGGACTGAGAGTGGCAGCTTCTGTTTTCAGGTCACCATTCTGAGAATCTTGTATGTACTGACTGTAATTTAACAAATATGTATATAGGCCCTGCTTTTAGAAACGCACCACTAAGCCAGTAAGGTTAGCTTCTATGTTATGCATTTACAGCAACAGTGTTACTCTAGTCTCGTGCTTCATTGACTGGATGTTGAGAATCAAGCAGAATAGCTTCAGCTTTAGCAATTTTGACAGAATATGTAATGCTTTTTTAACACATTGAAAACATCTGTTCTTTCTATGAGCTTTTATGAAACTTGCTAATGTTATAAGATAAATGTTTCAGTGCTTTGAGCAGGTTCACTTTTTGTCATGATTTAAAACAGTTCAGAGATTACTAAGAGTTACTAAGTAAAAGAAAGACAGAAAGTCAGAACTCAAAGGGAAACAAATTCTACAACTTCTATACTTTGGACTCCAAATAAAAACACAAGACCAGATATGAAAAATGCTTCATCTTAAGGTACCTAGCCCACCTGCTAAATTAGCTCATATCTGCAGAGTCCTTATCACAACGGTCCAGGTTAGTGACTGTTTCTTATTTTAAAAAAGGGCAAAAAGGTCCCAAGAAAACACTCAAACATTGCCATTAAATGGCAGAGTGTACGTTAAAGGAACAGTTTGACATTTTAAAGGTTAATAATTTTTCAATATTTTAACAAGTCTTCAATAATAAGACTGGAACCATAAATATCTTAAAGTTAAATATGGAACTAAAGCCAGACATCTCTTAGCTTAGCTAAGCATAAAAGAAACTGTAAACAGGTTTCTAATGGCTTTCACAGGGGTACCGGTTAGGCTCAGTGAAGGTTGCATGTCTCATGTACAAAGGCAAACGTCCACAAACAGGATTTCAACCTGTAGCCTTTTTTTCTTGCATGTCACTACCCACTCTCAACTTGTTACCTGCTCTGTCCACTGTCCTTTCATCCGAGAATAAAGGAATATTTACAAGTTATTACTATGAAAAATAAAAACAAGAAATGGCTGCCACCACTCACAGTTAATGCCATCAAATCCTGAATATATGGAAGTCATAACAGTGTATCATGAGAGTATTTCAATTGTCACTTCCTGCGAAAATTACCATGACCCCTTCTGGCTGAAAGCAGTCCATCAATAATTAATAACAGTATGTGGGAATCCTTGGATTTTTAATAATTCAATATCATGGAATAAGAAAAACATAATTTTCTTTGGCTGATTCAGAATCAGACTACAAATCTAAAGGCTTACAAGGCAAACATATAAATCTTTACTTTTTAGATCAGCAATCTGCAACACTGGAAGAGACAAATAATCAATTTCAAAGGGTTTCCATGAGTGTCTTCTTTATCTTTTGGGCCTATGCTTTGCTAAGCTAAGCTGAAGATGGCCTGGCTACATATTTTCTACGGAGCCCCAAAAGTCTCTGGGGTTGATAATTGTTTTCTTGTGTGCACAAGTTACTAACCTTTGTGGATGCAGCAGAGGTGATGTTTTTTGCTTTATCTACATGGTATGCCAGAGGAGACTTTTGAGTGTTATATCCTGATGGCACGGTGTTGCTGTCAAGTAGTTTTTTAGTTAGACCTCACTAAAGTGGATGGTAATGGTGCTTCTTTCAGCCTGTACCCACCTTCACATTTCCTTACTACAGTATGGTTTTGTTTTTTTTGGAATTCGCATTGAAAATGGACATTTGCCATTTTGTGCAACACACTCTTTTGAAGGAAGCTCACTGGAAAATGTTGACTTCCTTTTTGGCCTTTTTGGCATGACAGCCAGCCTACTTGATGTTATGCAGCAAGTCCTGTCATTATAATAACCTGGACTGGGCTAGCCAATCAACAGCCTTCAGGCATTAAGAATTACAATATAAAAGTCATCGGTCTCGTCACTAATGGTCTTGTTTGCTGTGGGGTATCATGAAAAGGCATCAGGATAAATTTCAGTCAATTTCATAAAGGTCAAAAAACTCCCCACAGGAACTTTAAAAGCAAAACTGGATGATAACATCAAATAATAACTTGTGTGCACAAGATAATAATTCTCTCCCTCACAGGTGTTCAGGGGTTCCACAAACAGACATCTTATTACTCTTTGGCAAATGGGAATTCAATTAGATCCCCACCAAGTTTAAATAAAGTCTTTTTCAGACCAATAAAAGAGTGCACACACTCGCCTCAGCAGAGACAGTTTTCCTGTAAACACCCATAACAAACAATTACACCATTTTGCTGTTTGTCTCTTTGGGTCCAGGGTTAAATTGAACATGAATGTGATCATATGATGTACGTATGCCTTCAGTGTGAGCGGACTCTACTGAATAGGTTAATGTAAGTTTATTGAGCACACCACTTGTATTATTATTATTGCATTTAAGTAAATTTTAGGTGCAGAATGTTCTTTAAATGCAAATATCTGAAGCAATAAATAATGCTCACATTATGAATGACTTCTGTTCTTTTATTTTGTCTTTTTATGCAGCAGCTCTGATCCTTAAGTCTTTTTCTATGTATGATTCATTTTAGCTCTGTTCCTCTCTCTTTAGACACACAGTGATCTCTCTCTCTCTTTTCTTTTGGTTAAAGACCTGTGCAGGTGGCTGATGTGAGGGTCTGATTCAGACCTGAACTTTTTTCCTGGATAGTTATGCATTCATGATTACAAATAAAGCTTCACTGACTCAATCTGTCTGCTGTGTTTGGTCAGAAAGCTCAGTGATAATGAAACACCTTTATCTTGTTATTTCTGACATGCAGTGACATGTTGAAATGTCAGGGTGACACCACTCACAGATTTTCTTTAGTTTCCTATCCTGTGGGATTCACGGCACAGAGAAAGATGCTGCACAGTCAGTAGATAAAGTTTTAATCTACATATTTACAGACATTTATGCAGAGGATGTGATAAAACGCTGCTTTAATCTGGCTTGATGGAACAACAGCCTACACATGCTGCTTCTTCCTTTGATTACACACATGAACATCCAGCACATCATGCAGCTCTACAGTTGGCGGGCTGGTAAATCCATCTTGGGGGTCTCTGTGGCGGTAACATCTGGCACACATCTGTTTGTAAAGGATTTAGCTCCATTTAAGTTGCTTTTTCCATTCAGCAGGCCCATACTCCACAGCAAATTAAGCTTTCACTGATGGCACCGAATGACATCAGTCACAGCACAGAGCTGAAGAGGCAAAGACAGAGGGCTGTGGTGTTTGATGGTGAAGAGGGCGGTCCTCCCTCATCCATAAACACACATACCCTGCACTGTCAGATTAAACTGCTGCTTGCTAACCTCAGTTTGTATAGAAACCAAACTTCAAATGAGAGAAAGACAGCCTTTATACTTTACTGAACAGTCTGTAATGGACACATTTTGGTAGAAAAAGAGTTAAAAGAGAATTATATATATAATTTTAGTGTATGGTGAAGCTTTTATTTTGAAGGTAAAGAGCAGCCTGTGGTATACAATAAAATGTGGAATGAAGTAATATCAAAGTCAAGGCCTCATAGATTATTGAATCCTCAATCTCAGATAACATCAGCACTTCCTTGTTTTCGGAAATAGTTTTTCCTAAAGACGGGCAGAATAATCCACAGTTTATCGTCAGCTTTTGAGTTTAACTGCTCCTCTTCATGGTCCTCTTTTCAGTGCAGGCAGCTGGCTGCTTCTCTCATACTCAGCTGTATGCTACATTACATAAAGATTAACAACCACCTTCAAAATAATGCAACTTTATTACTAAACTGTAACTTCATTCTCAAAGGAACTCTTTATTATCTTTAAACTTAAGTCATGTCATCTTGCCATCTTGCATCTTACCTCAAGTGACTTTTTTTTCTTTGATTTGTAATTTAGAACTTCTTTTTTGTAAATATGTAGCCCTTTCTAATTCATTCAAATGTGTTTTTTCTGTCATTTATAACTTTGTATATACTATATGAGTATTTGTCTTGTTAACGCACAACTTTCTTCTTTGTAATGAAATTCTATAAGAGCTTTAATGTTAGAATTAGTTTCAAAGTTTTGTAAATGAACACACTGCAAACAGGGTTGACTGTGGCTTACAGCCAGTAAAGAAAGTGGAAAGTGTTGAGAGTAAAAACTTGTGGAGAATGTATGGCCATCCTAATATAAGGCACTATTCATTATGGGTGCTATCTGTGACACGTCTGCAGAGGTGCTGAGTCAGGAGGGATGAGAGGACACCGCTGTACTTTATGTTCAGACACACTCTGCAGCTACTTTATCAGAACATGAAATATCAGAAGCTCCTGCATGTAGCCACCTGGTGCCGTTTGATTTTTGCACCGCTGACTGAGCACTTTGTACAGCATCTGCAGAGATGAGAGTAAATCTAACTTTACTCTGCAACGGTGCAAAGGACTTTAAAGAAAGAAATGCATCCAATATTCCACTCTTTATGTTCTTACACTTAAAATAAATGCATCTTTTCCTAATATGACTGTCTTTATTATCAGTAAGCACTTTCTTAGTACCTAAAGTATGCGTCTAAAAACAAAGTAAAACTAAAAACAAGTCTAAAAACACTTCATTGCTACAGAAGTGAAAAGTAGTGTCCTGAACAACTGTAGGTCACCTTGGTGTAATTTTTGTTATTGCAAATGATAAAAGTGTTTTTGTTTAATCCATCCCTTTTTAACTACAGAAAGAGAGCACCAGACAGACGGGGTGGAAACAGTTATTCAACAGACATAATAAAACAGAAAATGAATATATCAAACAAAAGTACGACAGGACAGGGAGGTCACACACAGGAAGGACAGAACTCGAGAACACAACTATGAAAGATAGTTTGATGTTATTGGGAAGTTAACGCAGCCTCATTCTGTTGCTTTTCTGCTAATGACCCATCAGCGTCAGATACTTGATTCTGGTTGGTTAAAACAGCATCACAGTGGTTATTAATCCTGAGCGTGAGCAACATCTGGACAATCAGACCACTCCCTGTCAAATCAATCAGCAGAAAAGAGGTCAGCATATTCATACTATTTATGAATCCAACTCTTCGTATTTACAGTGTGGCAGAAGTGCAACTATTTAATAGCAACATAAAGGCAATTTTATTATTGTTCTTAATTTGATGGAGAAAAACCAAAAAATACTTTTGAATGGTTAATGGCTGACCAGCCACTAGCAGAGAAAAGAAGATGAGACAAGACTGGTGAGGAGGGAAAGAGCTTTGTGAATGAGACATCAAGCAAATTGAAGAAAACAGACAAGAAGCAACCACAAGGTGCAACACAGCAGAAGACTGTTTACCTGTTCTTTTTTTCTGTATCTTTACGATCACCAACAGAAAAATGCTAACGCTAAGAACTTAGCAATGAATACAAATCTAAAGCTCAATGCGATTCATAACAGCTGAGCAGAAGTGAAGAGACAGAGTTAGCTCGGTACAAAAAACCCAAATCCTATAGCAAGTGATTTTGTCGCCGCATTCACCTGATGAGTCCAGAAAAATGTCCAGTTCCCAGATATTACACACTAAAAAAAGAACTGCTCTGCCAGTAATGAAAGAACCTGCCAATAAGAACAATGTAATGATTCCAAGTTTCCTGAAATATGAACACTTACTCTATGAAAGACTTTTCCTAATCTAGATCAGACGGAATGACTTACTGTGATTTGAGTTTTTGCAGAGACCTACCATAAACTGTTGACATTGATGCTCTTGTATGAAAAAGTATCAGCTGAGGTTACCTTTTTGCAGCTTTACAAGCTTTTTGCTCTGCTATTCTGCAACTTTCTTCAATTTTTGTTCATGTGCACACCAACTTGTCAATACATCTGATTGTCTTTCTGCGCAGTTATAGCATAGGTTCAAGCTAAATCACATTTTTCTGTGTTCTGTGATCCTTTCGTCAAATTGTCACGTTTTTTGGTAACAATTTGCACTGTGTGGCTCACCCTTCAACAAACAGGTTTCATAGGTTCAGAACACTGTGCACTCAGTAGGAACTAAAAATAACATGTTGGTCTGTTTTATTATGGTCTGAAAAGTAATTTGGATGGACTGGGTGTAGGAGGTGGTTTGTGTAACACAAGTGTAGTGAAATCTGAGCGGACACAGTAGTAAAATGCTCACAGTTCCTTTTCAAAGAGATTAAAAAGGATTTGTGTTTTGTGCACGGATAGACAGGCTGTTATGAGACCTCTGTCCCCCTCTGCATTAAATAAAGCAGCACAGTTTTCATGGAGGAAGTCATTCACCCCATCTGGACTCTGCTCGCTGATTGGATCATTGTTTGTCACAGCGAGGTGGTCCATTTAAAAATAACTCCCTCTTTATTTATCCCTGCTGCTAAATGAAACACTGCACACGCACACACACGCACGCACGCACGCACGCACGCACGCACGCACGCACACACACACACACACACACACACACACACACACACACACACACACTGCAGCTGCTGCTGGGAAAGCTGGTTTGATGGTGATTTCACTTTGTCAACTGACCAAAAAAAAATACTCAAACCAGCAACAACAGTGCAGGGAAAGAGATTTTATAAACTGTAGTTTAAGTGTCAAGATCCAGAGAGTGAAACACTTTCTTTTACTTTTTCAACAGAGTTTCAGCAAACATACGAACTTCATCAGCCCTACAGCAAAGTCTGCTGCAGCCACATGCACACAGCAGCAGCAGCGATCAGATGTAAACATCAGTATTCAGTGTAATAAACTTCATCACCAGAGTCTCCACTGTTTAACAGAGATCTGACATTAAATAACGGAGGGAAAAATGTCTTACCTTCACTCTGGTGTCTAAAACAGTCAACATAATCAGTCATCGAGCTCCAACAGGTTAACAATCCATCGATATTATTCCCGTTTACGTCCTGTTTGAATCCCATTTTAACCTCGCAGTCAGCGTCTCATCCATTCCCATGAAAAATTAAAGTTTTTAGCGCTGTTTCTGGTCGGCCGGCTCAGTCGTTTATTTCCTGGTCTTCTCGGAACGGATGTGGTGAGTCAGTCAAGGCCTGTCTGGACCTGCTGTCTGGACTCAGTACCAAGTCCAGAGATGCTCCTGCTGTCGGCCTCTATTAGGACAGCTGAAGCTACAGCGAGCTAAAACTTTTTTTCACACAATGTGAATGGATGATACACACTGACCGCGAGCAACGGGATGTGAATAATATAGGTGGGTTATTAAACTGTTGGAGCTGGATTACTGATAATACTTACTGTTTTAGACTCCAGAGTGAAGGTAAGAAATATTTCCTTAAGGTCTGATCAGTTATGTTTCTGCTTGGATGTGTGGTGGACAGAGTTTAGGACGTTTTATATTTTCACGTACACTACTTACTATTTCACTGCTCTGTTCCTGCACAACCCGTGACGTCACAACTGTCGTAAACTAAAGATGGCGCTGTGCGCATGTCGTAAATACACTCTTGAAAGCGCTTTTCCTATTAAACAGCTGATTTTTTACACAAAAAAATATTTCAGACTCTCTTCTAATTGATTTTTTTTACCACCTGAGGATGCCAATGTGGTGTGTTTCATGTCCTCTTTAAGTCTTTTGTATTTACATTTTTTTTTAACTGTTGAAAGGAGAAAACCATCAACAAATCTTACACAAGCTTTAACCTGCAATCAGAGTGACAATAAAAAATCTTGAATCTTTAATTCACATTTCAAAACATTAAGAGAATAAACGATGAGACTGACTGACAGTGCCAAACTGAAATTAAAGCACAACGTAAACGGGTATCATTCATGTTTCCATCCAACAGGCTTAAAGAACTCCAGTGATCAAGCACACACTCTCATTCTGTGAACTAACACAGAATGAGAGGATGACTGAAGTTAGTTTTTAGCGTAAACTTGTGAGTCTGCTGTGTGTGCAGCAGAGTACTCACGAGTTAAAACAGAGAAATACTGTTCCTGCACATGTGGATGATGACTGATTGTCTCGTGTCTAGATGAGCTCCTCCTCCTCCTCTTCCTCCTTCTGCTGCTGCTCCGGCTCTCTCTCTGCAAATCCTCTGTAGTTAATCACCACAGCTCCATCTCCCCTACGAGCATTTCTCATTTCTACCAGCAGAGGGCAACAGGAGGCAGCTCCATCAGCAGCTGCAGCGGTTATCAGTGTCAGAGGACCATCCCTGTCTGTGCAACAGCACACTGAAGCCTTTCCTGGGATTTGTGAGCGTCCAAGGCTGCTTTGGATTTATTTTTGTGTCAGGTTCATCTATCTCCCGTAAAGACAGGATTCACATCATTTAACATCAGCTGTCAGAGAAGAATCGTTTATCTCAGCACTTAATTTCTACTTTTCAGGAATCCTGTGTCTGCCTAAATCACACACTGCTGACAGAGGAAGAAACTACTGCTTCATTTTTGGAGTTTCACTCAGGTTCAGCTAGATGTTTATTCTTTAATATGTACTGCATGTACTCATTGGTCTTATTTATGACATTTTTGAGAGACTTTCTGCATGTTGGTGCCTTCCCTTCTCCCTGGAGCACGTGTCTAAAGATAGAACAACCTTTACTTAAAGGGCAACTCCGCAGATTTTACACATGGTGTTCTGTGAACTGGTCCGGGAGAAAGCTATCAAAGGTGGCAGATGAGGGCAGGCACAATACCAAAACTGTATAAGCTCTGACGTAGCCCAGTGGAAATCTAATTTCTAACGCAGGGTGGATTTAAGATACTACTCACATTAAAAAAAAGTTACACCTTAAATCTTATACTTAGCATGAAGTCAATGTAAAGTCCCTAATAAAACATCATTTACCCTCAGTTTCAAAGACTGGGTGTCTTGCAGTGCAGTCTCTGCCTTCTTTCTTTTTCAAAATGCATAACTTAATTCTCATTCATATGCCATGAGTGGAGATGGTGTAATCTGTGATATTACTGTATGCTTTGGCACACGTCTTTATTACCCTGTCATTGTTGTTATCATACATGAGCTGTAAATGATACGATACAATGCGATAAATTACAATAAAATATGACACGATTTAAGCAGTCTTTTTCAGCTATTGACCTGTTCAGAGACAACCAGCCATAAGAGTAAATACTTAACAATGACCGATTCAGGTTACAGACTAGCTGGTTTCAACCTAAGTGTAGACCTTGCGCACTCAGTTAAAGCACGACTTATTCCGTGCTGGTGCAACAGGTTCAGGTATGCTTTACAGTTGCATTGTGGAAAATGCAGGACAGTTTGTCTTGGGAGCCTAACCACAGGCTTTATGAGAGACATGGAGATGACTTATTGCAATGCCAAAATGAGTGTTTGTATACAAAGCAATAAGAAGATCAGTATATTCCTCGGCTGGTTTATTCCCACAGTCAAAAACTTTCCCGTCAAGTTTATTTTTTACACTGAATCATCTTTTGGAAGTTTTTTAGTTGTTTAGGAGACAAACTAAATTGATTTTAAAGCACCTCTAAGTGCAAACATTGTCGATAGTCTAAGGATCTTTTGTGTGTGTGTGTGTTTTCAGTAATAATTGATGCCTGAAAACTGCTCCTGCGTGGTTGTTTAAGTGACACTGTAGAAACAGCATTTATTTACAAATTTGGCTCTGGCAGATCATTTCAACGTTGTTAGAATGAAAACTCCAGTTGAGCGATTTTGTTAGCTAAAAACTTGGTGTCTGTTCACCTCCAAACATTCAAATTCAGCTACCAACAGGGCACTAGTTTGGTTCAGCAATTAATGCAAAAAGCTCAAACATAGAAGCTAGTTTGTGTCATGGGACTGTTGGTTCGACACCCAGCCTTGACCATAAGCTGCATTTCTTCTTCTGCTTGCTTCTCTCCCCGTTTCCTGTCTCTCTTAAGCTGTCCTATCAAATGTAGGTGTAAATAGTAAAAGAAACCGCAGAAATGGAAAAGGCTCACCATTTAAAAGGTCACTCCTCAGCCTTAAAGTCAGTGAATACTTTTTATTTGCGCTCTATGGACCTAAAACATATTTGGTTTTAACATCAGAATATTAGCAGCTTTCACTGTTTGCATATTTGCCATTCAAATAAGGACATGTTAACTAGCTTACTGGACTATGGAGTTGCCACTATGGAGTGTTTCATCATAACCATTGGTTGTGCATGCAAGTGCTCTTAAGGTCTAGTAGATTCAAAATCTAAACATAGCCCCAAACACAAGGCCCCAAATTACAATTACAAACACCCCTACAAAGGTGCCTTTAAACTGCGTCCGGCTGCATGCCAATTAGCAGGATTTGGCTGCTATAAAAGAGCCCCTGCTGTACTTTGATGTTAAAGCTTTCAAATTAATATGTGACAACTGACAAGGGCTCCAAAAGGACACATCACCTGTGCTTCAACAGCAGGTAGCTTACATCATCAAAATAAATGCATTTATTTAGTTTGGCATGGACATAATTGTAAATCAACAAGAAAAGAAGCTCATTAAATCATTTGTCTTAAACAAAGAAGCACCAGATATCACTAAGGTCTATAAGTATCAGAGATTTACTTTTAAGCTCTTTCATAAATAACATGCATCTTTTGCTCTGTCACAGCTGCCCAAATAGTGAAAAACGGGAGGAAAACATACAGGACACCGGATTAAAACAGAATTAAAACTGTCTGATTAGAAATGCAAGGAGTGCTGCTGTGACGCAGATTTACCCGTGCAGGAGTTTGGGATGAATGGGGCTTTCGGAGGACGCGTTCACAGTGTGCGCACCTGCGTAAAACCAGCAGAGCCCCAAACTGACTGAGGATAGAAGCACAGGCTTGCTCTGAGAGGGAGACAGTGCTGCTCCACGGAGTGCACATACGGCTGACAGGAAGGATTTGACACGGCTGATTTCTAACAATGATATCTGGTGGATTACAAACTATGAGGAGCTTTTTTCTCGCGTTATCCTCTAAGGAGCTGTGACCACCGCCGGCTCCAGACACCGATACGCGCCGTCCTCTGACACATCCACACTTGTTGTCCACCTGAGAGAAACATGACATCCAAATTATTGGCTTATGCCTTACTGCTGTCTGCCCTCCATATATGGTAAGTGTAGTTTGATTATTTTCAACAGCTCTATAGATATATAATACATCCGGTGGTGATATATAAACTAGTAAATGTGCTTTAGCTGATCCGGAAAACTTTACTTATAGCTTTAAGTTGATCAGCAGCTCTAACATGATGCTTGTATCAACGCAGCCTGCAGAAAACTCAACAGTGCATTGCATGTTTTCACCATCTAATCTTACTTCACCTGTGCAGCTCTCTGACAATCGAGTACGAAGAGGAATACGAGGATGTCACAGTGAACCAAATGCTGGCTCCTAAATCACAGGAAACAGATGCCACGGAAATACTCAACAATTTACTGAAAGAATACGACAAGAAACTGCGGCCGGATATCGGAGGTGAACATTTCTTTTCAGTCACTGTCATGTCGTTTTACAGCGAAAAATATAATTCACTTATCTGTCAGGACTGTGTATGCATCATCTGTTCAGTTGCAAACGATTAACTCCCTCTGCCTGACCTGAAACCTTCAGATTCAGTGGATATTATAATCTGATGAATGAGCTCAAAGGAGGTGTCACTCAGTCTAAAGACTCACTTGACATCCATCAGAATAGAAAAATATCTAACTAAGACAATAACTCCAAAAAGTCACCACATCTACTAAACAATTCTCGTGAAACATAAATATGTGATCATGCAACAAACAGAGTTTATAAAGCCCTCTAATACATTTAGATGTCTCAAAGCAGCAGACACATCTGATGAATTTGATGCTCTTCAAGGTCAGGCTTCACATCGTCTTCACAGCTCTATCCATCTTGAAAGTTAGGTGATAATGTGACATCTTTGTCTAATGTGTTTATGACACGCTGTCACACCTCCACAGCAGCTCATTGGCTGTTCGGAGATCTGTAACAAGCCTAATAGTCAGAGCTCCACAGTGTGTGCCTGAAATCACAGACCGAATGTAAAGCTGTAGTTTTTTTCAAATGATA